ATTGCACTTGGCCGTCTGTTTGTCTGTATTCGAATGACTTCGTAGTTCAGTGGCTATGAATGATGGCCATTCGCCTCATGTACTACCTCCTTAACGGCCGGTCTTAATCTCAGGGTTACATGCTGCATGTTTAAAAAAAAAACTACATTTTTCTGCTCTATATTTTTGTACCTTTGTGGGATGAAGAGTTAATCGTTTGGTGCCTTATTGCAGTCAGGTTAAATATACACGACATGGCGCTTCCGGTGTTCAACCTAACTCGGCTAAAGCGTAGAGCACCTTGTGGCGTAGTGGCTAGACTGACAATCCATACCGACCCGCTTCTTACAAAGTCTAGAGTTCGAAATCCTAAAAGTTAATCCGCTTAATTTAAAACCCTCTTTTTCGGTTTTATATTTTTAAATCTATATGCAGCGTTATGTTGGCTTCGAGATCGCTAATTTTACGTTCACTCCCGACGAGCGAAGTTAAAGTTTAACTCCGCAGATTGTAGTGGCGTAGTGCACTGAACTGTTGAACCACAACAACAGGTGCAATCAAGGTTGCGGGTTCGAGTCCCTACAATTAAAATTGCATTTTCTGAAATCTTACTTTTTCGTTTTTATGTTTTTACTGGCACTCTTGTGGAAATATTCCCGTTGTCGGCGTGAATTTTGCGATCACGATGGTGGTGAAATCTTAAAACTTATCAGCTGTTTCAGTGGTGAATTTTTACTATATTGCGGAATTTCGTAGTACAGCGCCTCCGGTGATTGCCAAATTAAAAGTAAAATGTGGAATAGCCATGCTAGCGTATGGGCAAGAGCAGGATTTAGTTGTCCACCTAGATGCAAGGTTCAATCCTGCGTGAATACAAATTTTGCAAGTGTTAACAGTTTCTCACCATTCTTTTTACTTTTCTTTGGTGATTTTTGTGACTCTATTCCCAGGATGGAATATTAAAATTGTTTTTAGCGTTTGACTCACGCTTACGGGTGCGATATTTGATTTTACTTTGTTAATTGGCCACTCTATATTGGAATTCACTGTAGTTACAAATGCGCATACTGTTACTCCGATTTTATTGCGGTTATTAAAATGCTACATAAATCCAAAATTAATCTCAAATTAAGATCTGTTCGACCAGCAAAATTAACGACTATATGAGAATCTGTATGAATGAGAATTATAAAACCAGAACAGAAGTTAGATTAAACGGAAGAAACAAAGTCGGCCGAAAATCAGATTTAAAATTAACAGACAGCTGCGCGAAAAACATTATGCGCTACAGCACCACTACTTAGTCCAGATCCAAATTCTCCTTCGCAGTTTTCAAGTTGGCAAGACGCTGTTCCAAAGCCTCACGGATATACGCGATATGTTTAGCATCCATGGTCGCTCGAGCCTTCAGCGTATTTACCAGCGCCTTGCAGTTATCCATGATATCCTTTTCGCGTTCAACCTGTTCCAGTAACTTGTCGATTGCGTCTGGCTTTTTAATAGCATCCGGTTCTGCAGTGCTTACTTCAGCGTCAGGCTTTTCGGCCTTCTCCTTGGTCTTCAGGCCTTTCTCAGCCGCATCCGCATTTTGCGATGGGGCAACGTACTTCGGACGGCTGCCCATAGCTTTCAGTTGAGCGAGAGTGATGATTGGCTCTCTCTCAATACGCCCGTCCTTGCTTGCCCGGATTACCAGATTTACGTTGGTGGTGTTGTTCTTCCCGGGCTCGATTGCCTCTAGCCGTTCCATAACCCCATCCACAACTAAATCTGCGTCTTGCCCCACATGGCCAAAGCTGCAATCGGCGACATGCTGTTCGGTCTCCTTGCCGTTTACGATAACCTTCATCGTGCCCATCTTGATATCTGCAAAATACGTCGTTTTAATTAGGCTACAGAAAGTACGATAAATTGCAGTATGTAGCATGGTTAGCCTCCTTTAAAGCGCAAATGTCTATAAATTAATATAACCAAGCACCTACATTACATTTTCCTGACTTTATTACGGGAAATCGAAACTGCTTAGTACTTACTGATAGTTTGGGCTAGAGTGGTGCAGAGACAGCAGCCGCGAATGCTTCGTAGCCACAGGTCGATGCAACTATCCACGAAAAGATTTCCGTAGACGACGACGACATGTTTGTTTTTAACCAGTTGGCGCAGCCCGCGCTCCAGCCAGTAGTCTACGTCCTGCAGATGTACATCGAACGTACAGATCCAGTGTTGGATTTCGGTGCGTGACATGGCATATCGGCCGTGGTAAAGAATTACGCGAATCATCCGACGAAACTTGCTAGTTGTGTCGATTAACTTCGTCTCTGGATCGCGGTTATTGTTTACTTCCTCGGCCACTTCGAGCACGAAACGTCCATCGCGGCTCATCTTCTTGAGCAAGATTCCAGCATTAATAGCGTCGCCGAGGAAGAAATCCACTCGTTCTTCCGTGAAATCATCGTGCATTTCCACAATGAATTTCTTGATAGATGACATGTCCACATAATATCCCGTAATGTCAGCCTCAAGAATGCACGCGTGGGCTGCCGTATGCATCGCCAATTGTCGACGGCTTCGGATGGTTTCGTTTGGCTGTAGAGGCTCTGCCATGGCAAACTGAACTGATTCGCGAGTTCGTCCCTTCCAATATTCATAGTGGGCAATCGCATCCGTTTCGGGCGAAGGTAACGGCTCTCCAGCTGGTCCTACAGGCTGTCCTGACATAATGATTAGTAAAAATTATTGAATTAAAAGCAATAAGAGAAAACAAAATGCGCTAGTAAATGAGAAACAGAAAAATCCCGTCACCAAAAAGATAGATATTGTTGGGTTCTTCACTTTCACTTCTAGTGAGGAACAGCTGATATTTAGTGAACCGGCATTCTGTCGCGCGTCTACCGCCTTGAATAGCCAGTGTGTTAGGAAACTGTATGGTTTCCGGTCTGTGTTCCGAATATTTCCCAGCCGCGTGTTTTGGTTTCGGTTTCCTCTCTTTGTGTTCTTTTCATTCTCAAAGATCTTTATTTTGTGTCAAAATCTAGTTTTGAGGTTGTATCTTATAAGTCCCCAGCGCAACAATTGGTATTCTCTGTGATTTAAGGCAAACAATTAACGTGCGTACAAATTCACAAAATTCGGTCTGTCGCTTGTCAACCGCCGTTAGCGTTTGTTTGGTGGATTTGGCACTTCCGGTGTCGGTGCCAGTAGAGATTTTCTGTTGTGCTTTTTCTCTGCACTCCAGTTCTTTAAACTTTTTGCATCCATTTTTACCCAAGTTTTCTGCTGGCCCTGTCATTTGTTGTTTTATCGCTGAAAATGTCGCCCCCAGCAAAGAAAGCGACTGCGCGGAAGACTGCATTGCGTACTCCGCGTCCCAATCGTGCAACAGCGGGATTAAGTATTGGTTATTCTCCGGACAGCGATGAAGCCCGTTCTTCATCGCGTGTCACTCGATCTCGCGTCTCTCGCCGTACTTCCGCTCAGCCAGTGTTTTCTGCACAATCTCCTGCACCATCTGCAAGTGTAAGTGCAGCAGCGAATCAACAGCCTTCAGCCAGTCGGGCAGATGTGATAGTCGATGCTTTACAGCGCCGATATGATAAGCAACGGCGACGAACGATTTCGCGACGCAATGCTGCTGTGGTTCGCCGTCAGGCCCGCCGAGGATCATTCCCTGCCAATCCTGACGTTGAGATCCGTCAGCCGTCACCGAAGAAACTGCAGACGCAGGCAGAAAGACAGTTGGGTACTCCAGACCTGACGGAAGAAGAACCATCGTCTTCTGAGACTCCGTCTGTAAAGGCCAAGCGAGGTATTACCTAGTCTCTATTCGGGCTACCTTTTATTGGTCTGCTATTTGCTCAATTCATATTTGGCTTGCTTTTCATCGCTTTGTATAGCTGTTCTGTTCTTGTCTGTCTATTTGCGTGCTTTACTTCACCGTGATTAATCGGTGTTTCACTGTTTAATCACTGCTCCTACTTGCTGTATTGTCTACAATGTAGTCCAGGCCCATCATTCAGCCGTGTTACTGATGATTGTACGTTTTATTCAATGACAGATGAAGAGCATCTGCGTAAAGGTGGCATCCTTTATGCCCCGTACAACCCGGATGCACCGCGGCCGGTCTTCAAGACCAAGCAGACGGCTCGCAAACGAGCGCATTCCGGAGTATTTCCACGAATGGCTGTAGCGGATAACCGGGGTGAGCATCAGTTAGTGATTACCGAGGCTTATTTTTCCGGATTAAACAGATTTCATCGATATTATCCTCGTTTATACTTATCGCGGTTTTTGTTTACCAACGGATCTTTAATTAATCGATTTGATTTGTGTACCATTACGCGGTCCTTGCCCACGCCTATCGCCTTTGAATTGCGTCGCCAATATTTATATTTGAACCCAGTTTTTGTTCGTCTGTTTGAAGTTCTGGACAAGCATCAGAAAGCGGATGCAGTTGCGCGTCAAGCTGTTGTTGATGCTGGTCCCGTGGAAAATGCTGAACCGCAGGCTTCAACTTCTGCTGCCCGCCCGTATAATTTCCGCACTCGTGGGGAGAAGCGCAAGTACAGGAAGGTCTCGCCGTCCTCGTCCTCTGCGCCCAGTGAAGTTCCGTTTCGGATGATGGGGAAGATCGTGAGGATCCTTCGGCCGTATTATCCCCTGATCAGAGTGCTGATGTCGAAACCGACGAGAACGTTGATATGGAAGTTGATTGTGATGGTGGTGATGGATCCGATCTGGAAAAGATGGATGTTGATCCACTGCCGTCTCTGCAGCCAGTTGCTCCAGCTGTGCCACCTGTTGCCGCTGTTGCCCGTGAGGATTCTCCTGAAATTGCGGAGCCGACTGGATGTACGTACGGATGCTGACTGTCCGCCTTCCACCTGCAACATAACGGATAATCTAGTCAGTCTCATCTGTAATTTGCTGTTCTCTTTTACTAGCGGTGTATATGATGTCATAACGCGAAGTCTATATAAGTTTTGGTTGCCACTAATATCGGCAATCAGTAGTCTGAGATTTACTTCTGAGACTGCTTCTAATTACGATTTCCTAGCGTTGTGAACTGTGATGTGAATTGGATAAAGAGACAGCAATACTTGTTCCTACTGAAGTGCATAGTTGTTCCCGGATTATCGCTTAGTATACAGGTTTGCTCGTGACACAATCGTCCTAGCTCTTGCCGATCCTCACAGGACTTACGACCGGAAGTTGTAGTTAGCTCGTTCCTGAGGGATTCCTGATCTTCTGTGTTCCTGAATCGTTCGTCTTATTTCCACCATAGTTCTTCTGTTACAGTTTGAGAGTACGAGTGCCTACTGACTGAGCATTACAGGCGTGGAAGAGTAAAGATTGTTCATGGAGCCTTAAACGGCGTGAACGCTTATACACGACACCAGTAATGATTTTCAAAGACTGTAATTTAATTTTACCAAAATATTTCAGGAGCAGTACTCGTATATTTTGATTATGGATTTCCACTGCAGCTGACCAAGTCAAAGCCAAGCAAAAACGTCCATGTATATAGCGAACTTTCTCTTGCAAATCTGAATAAATTCCGGTTAACGGGGAGGTGTAGAGTGTCGACCGGATCCCGTGATGGAGCGCAATTATGACTCATGCGTGTTTCCGGTAGAACAAATGCCGCATCGCTGCTTGGACGGGCCGTATATATGTACCTTGCATTGGGTATGTGGAACGCATAATCTCATATTGTCGATACTTCATGCCGAGAGCCTCTGTGTGAGATTGTATTGTATTGATTGATCCTTGGTTTCTGCCCGTTGAATTCCCGGTATCGTGAAATCACTTATGCACTGCCCACGCAGGTTCTGTGCAATCCGCTGATTTCAGTTGATCGGAAAATTTCATAGTCATCGATTCCGTTTGCCTTAAATTTCCCTGAACGGAAATTTAAAGCGTATATCTATATTCTAGTCTAAGTTTTCAACGATTCGTAATTATTTGATTCATATTAATTTCTTGCATAATTTTTATATAATTTGGTGCCAGTTTCTAGCGACCGCATAGTCCTCGAGACGCGGTATTGTTGTTGGCGGCCGTGGTCCGTGACGGATGGTCAGCAGTCAGCACCGGAAAGGTAAGAATACGTAATTATTTTGGCTGATTACTTAGCGGCTAGTGGAAGCTGCATAACTAGCCACTTTTCCATGCACCGCTGCGTACTCATAACAGCGAAAAGTATGCCGCAGTGTACATACCCTATATCGACTATCGTAAAAGTCCTTAATAGAATATTTTTTGGGTCTCTACTCGTTAGTATACATTGTTATATCAAACTGGTTTGTGGCGTTTCTTTCTGTATGATAACACTACATCCTTACGCGCTTTTAAACAGAGGCATTTATTAACCAGGCACACTGTATTCTCCATACGACGATACTTACAAATCTAAGCTAAGCTAAGATAAGCTAATCAAATCAGCATCTTGCAGTTTTTGCTTTGCATAATAAAAAATAATTTTGCTGTCAAATGTGTGCGTGCTGCAATTGTATAATTTATTTATTCCGGTTTATTAAGTACGCATTTAAATATACGTGCTACATCCATCTGAAAAATCGAAGTATATTATATTATTTATATCACATGGTTTTGAAGCTGTACCGGCAAATATTATGCTTCGGTATATTTCAATCTTAAAGTCGGACCGCATCGATTTTGTGCGACAATAATTATTAGGTACACAGCAGTCAATCTCCAAGATAATTTCAACAAATTGCTGTAAGTAGTTTCTCGATAACATTTGTTGCGTTATACATTACATCTTTGGCATGAAACTCAATAAGAAACGATTCTGAATGACAAGCGGCTTTTAACAATTATCCTACTTGAGACAATACTCACCGCGTGTACTGCACGTCGCGGTAAAACGCTGGCCCACTTTAAATAGGTCTTATGTACAGCGAAGACTCAGCGGATTGTCAAAAGCCGTTAATAATGCGAATTTTTAAGGGTTACATTTAGGAAACGGTATAGTTAATACGCAGCTGGCGTCACAACACGACATATAACACACTCCGCCCGTCGACATTGTTGTTGTCGTTTGCGGAAATGATTAGCGGTGTTAGGAAGCACATGGTGTCGTTAACGGCGTCTTGATCGGTTCCGGTACGTGTACACTATAATATGCAGAAGATCATGGTCAGCCGGAGCGATATCTCTAGCGATGACCATTATTATTATTACTGCCGTGAAATGCTCTAGGCCGTTTGGTCAACATCATGCGTTTACGAGGGATGATAACGGTGAAAACGATTGCACCGGCAATTTCGGCAGATACAGCAAAACAATCTTCGGCTTTGATGAGTTGCTGCAAGCCGAACAATAATACCACTGTTATTGCCGGTAAAGAGGAAGCCTCGTTAAATGCTATCAGTGTGGCCTTAATGCCGGTCAAGTTGTGGTTTACATACAACCGCTGCACAATTGTTAGTGTTTAGGATGGTCGGTGTTAAGACTATTGTGTATTGTTCGCAGTATTTGCCTTGAACGATATTTTGTGTTACGTTAACCTGAAAGATGACCACCGGGTTTTGTTGCCGGTTCTTGGTAAATTTGTAGATGCGCTTAAGGATTGTGGTTAAGCCAACGTTGTAGCTTTTTACAAGCAAAACCAAAGCTGATACTGTGTTATCGAACATTGAGCGCCAAAGCCATTCTGTAATCACGAGCAATTACCGTATATAACTGTTTTATTAGTCGATAATGCTCTAAGGTATTTTATCAGAAAACTTGCCTATTATTTATAACGTTTATTTCGGACAATGGTCCGTTCGATGTAATCCTTTCTGTAACAAATAGTTCAAAATATTTGATTTGTTGCGAATATGTCCGAACCACGAGAATATGTCTGAATTTGAAAATAAACTATAAGGAGTAGGTTATTTATCATTTTACGGTATTCTTAAAGTGCAGGTTTTTGTTCGGTATTTAATTTTATTGACGATAAATAAATTTAGCAGTTTCTTCGAAATTGATGTACTTATTAGCTGTGTATCTTTGTGAAAAATAGAACGTAATGTATTTGCGGTTGTTCTCTGCACAAAGGAATACCACTAGTAGTACAGATGTATTTTGTGATTTCAGTATTAAGGCGCAGGTTTTAGTTGGATATTCAATTTGATTTTCGGTTAATATAATTAACATTAGTTATCGGCTATTTTAAAAGTTTTGGTATTACTTTTACGCTTTTGTAAAAAAATGGAAGTTCATGTATTTCCGGCTGTACCCTGTACAAACGGGTATTACTGCATTTACAGTATAATTACTAATTCTGCCAAAAAATTTTATATAAAAAAGACCGTCATTTTCATGATCAATAGGCTTCGAAATAATTTAATTATCTGGTTGTTCCTGTATTCAGTTTTGTAAAAAACGGCTTCCGGCGCACACGGATGTGCGTGTAGCCCGTTAATGACGTCTACCGGTGGTTAACACGCCACATTCGGAACCCAAGCACAAACGTGTCCGCTTGGAGGGGATTAGCGGCATCTTGCACGGTGATGGAGAAGTCAAGAGGGCTTTTGATAGGCAGCCCGGCTGCCCCGGCTTTACGTAGTATTCCAAACTAGCAACAGTGGTACAAAGATATATATTTTCTCCGCTGTTTTTGACGTACACCTGACAGCCCCGGTGATGCGATGCGCGACCGCTCGCGCACAATCAGCGCCATTGAGATTACTCACCACACTCGCGATCTGACCTCACCGTGTACTGTACATCGTGGCCAGCATCGCAGTTTGTGTTGCGCGATATACTGGAGAGATGCTACAGCATTAGCCGGCTCGGACAATCACCGGCACGCGATTCTGATTTGCCGTACAATTTCAGTTACACATGTCTAGAATTTACGCACCAAATTTTACCAGAAATCTGCAATAATATCGAATTATTTGGGGATTTTTTATTATTGCAGAGGATTGTTTGCTTTATTTTTGCTTGAGGATGTTAGATAATTCCGCAATCTCGGTGAGTGCCATATTTACTTCCGCATATAAAAATTTCTGCATTCAGAACAAATTTTACTGATTTGATTTACAGCTGATTTAAGCGCAATGATTATTAAAGCGATAATCCATTTATAGACCTACAATAAAAGTTTTGTTTGCAAAAAAAAGGAAATTTCCTCCTTGTAAATTTTGCAGATAAAATGGGTGATAGTGTTATGTAACGTTAACCAATAAATATCGAAAAAGGAAAACGCTATGCATCTTGATTTTTGTTGCACAATGTATTGATACAAGATTGCCATGATTCCCAATATTTGCCCGAGGAAGCGCGGACTGTTAAATTAGGACGCAGACCAGTCATACACCGGAAGTCAGACACTTGCGCATCATATATAATCATGCTGTGCCGCCAAGGCGTCTATCGACGGCGCGCATTTTATTGTGTCGTATGCTAACCGGAAATTATTAGCATTTTTTCTCCACGGTGCTTGTTGATTTTCACAGTTCGTTCTTTTCGCCTACTCTCCACCTACCAAATGTAATTGCATACCGGAAAACTGATAACTTTTAGCAGTAATTATTGAACGTTATGTATCGTTACGATGAATGGTCACCACGCGTGCGCATCGCACTGATTGGATATATTGTTACTTAATGTTGGTTCATGATAAGCCTTTATTGCATAAAACCAATATTTGTGTATTGAATTATATATACGACGTTCACCGGTGTAGATACGATATTATGAATATTTTTCTTTAGACGCTTTTATGCTCACCTTTTTATGATACAAAGGAGCAAAATTTTTTTGTTAATTTCTTGTTTAGTTAACGTTAACCGATGGGAAATTGTATTAAAATTTAATGTACAGACTTTGTTCAATTTATCCGGTTTTGCAGTAATGACCTGTATTGACTTATTGTATCGTTCGCCATCTGTTACATATTATGACGCTGTTCGAGTGAGTCGTTGAGAACAATCTGAGTATTGTATCAAAACTGCGCATGAAAAAATCTTTGTTTAGATTGCTTTCAATTCTGTAATTATTTGTAGCTCCCTGTTTGAATTGGGCAATTAATTAACAACGTCGAAATTTTATTGCGGAATCATTGTACTGTATTATCGTTAGAACCGGTTTAAGTTATTCATAAGTTATAGAAGAACTGAATATTTCTATTGACAGTGTCTCTTAAAAACTTAAAATATAGCACGACCACGAAAAGACGCTAAGCAGATCATTTCCGGTCATGCTGCCTTATTGTCAGACTGGCTGTTCGATACAATTTCGTTGGCATTGAAGGGTGTTTCTTTTTGTTACAGTGACCAGCGTTGCGATTAAAATCCCCGTGTTGATATTGGAGGCAATCGCATTGAAAGGAAACCGTAACCGGCATCATAAGAATTGGTTGTCACATATATTATTGCATCAGGATTAAACCGCGCTGATGGATCTGTGTCAGTATGGTCATATATCACACATTGCATCCATCGCCGACTCCGTCTGATGCAGCGCATACCGGCTATAATCGGATAATCTGTGGATCATACATATTCATTCCATCAGGATCATAATTGTAATTGGCACCGGCATTCAAACGGAGAACCGGTTGACGACCAGCGTGATTCAGCATGATGGATGTACTGTTTCCATAATACCAGCGTCCGTCCACACCGCTATGGAACAGCACAACCGCCGGTCACGGGAGGGTGTGAGAAAAATGCGGGTTAGTGTTGCTCTTACATGGATCTGGCTGATCTTTCACGCCGCTACATGTGCCAGTGGGACACCGTTAACAATGACCGGTAAGCTTTGGGCATTCGCGAGACGCTTGTGGTCAGTGTCAGTGCGTCGCGGCATGGCTAATAAGTTAAGGTTGTAGCGATACCCAGCTTGGTGTCAGTCATAACACAGTAAATACACCACCTTGCCACTGTCGACCTGCAATCGCACAAACAACAATAGGCTGACCTTTATTGGCTAAATCAACACCGTTGCCGGCTGAATGGGATTAGGCATTATCTGCCCAATTAGACGGCGGCCGTGTTATGTAAAGTAACGAAAATGTTTTTACCATCAACTGCAGTGTATACAGACGTCACTGAGTTTAAAAAGCAATTTACTGAATTTGTTGTTTATAGAACGATTGTCTCGGTTTGCGAATTTTCTTTATGAGCAATATGGAGCGAATAGATATATACATAAATATATATCGTGGTAATTAATAAAAAAATATAATAGAAATCAGTAAATGTAATTGCTTAATGCGACCGTTCAGTTAGCATTCAATTAACCGGTCTGAATTACCGTATTTCCCACAGTTTATACAAGTATATGTAAACTGCGTATGCAGTGAGGTATGCCATTCGATCGCTAACTACAATTACAGTTTTCAAGTACCACCTATACAAATCTCCATGCCCTGCCTGGTGATTTTTGCCTGTAACAAGGGCGGTCTCGAATAATAATTCATTTTCACACATACATTTTTAATTTAAATTTTTGTTTTACAGTCGCGATCCATAACTCCACAACGCCGTCTCCAGCCGACACACCGGTCAACACCACATCGTTCGACGACTTTTTATACGACTGTGGTGAGGAGTGCTGGCGCAAACATTCCCTTTTCAACAAAACCATCTTCCAGCCAAATTTTCCCAAACTTAAAACAACCGCACCCAACACCACCGTTGTACCCGATCTCAATACCACAGCGCCGCATTCAAGCACGAACGTAATGCAACGGGAAGGAAAACTGGAGCACGACGATCCCTACGCATCCCGGGAGAAATATTCCGTTCCCAGTTACCAAGGGAGTATGTCCCTGCCCTGGCCGACACCTCCGGCGTTTTATCGCGGGAGCAATGATCTCCAGTACCGGACACCGTTGACCAAGGCGTCCGTAACCTTTACACCGACAATCCCGAAATCTTCCACGACGGTGACAACACGTTTACCGACTACCTTCTCTGCTAAACCCATAAAAAATGTGACGTCGGAAAGTCGAACTACACCGTCGAATAATTTCACCAACAAAGCCAAACTTTTACCGGTCACGCAGCGCCGGACGTCGACGCCGGAGCCGGAATACTACCATCACATGGAGGAACAAGCGGAACTCCTCAACGCTAACCATTCCGTGTATTATTTGCTGACCTTAAACGGGAGCTGTCACGAGATCGAGGAGTCCCACGAGGCCGCGGAGGGTTTCGTGCAAGCCTTCTCCAAAGCGCTGCTGGAGCGTTTTGAGACGCTGACCGTGGAGGATGTGCACGTGTGGTCCATCGCCTGCGGCTCGGTGATTGTCAACTTCTCCATGCCCACCTGGGAGCATGCCAATCATTTTGGATATCTGCATCAGAGGATTGTGGAAGGGGGCAACTTCTCGGTTTACTTCACGGAAAAAGTGTACCGGGCGGTCGCGTTGACCCGTACGCGGGATGATATGGCGGACGAACAGACACTCGCCCACCTGCAGATTGCGCCGAGTTCCGGTCGGTTCTATCCGGGAGTGATTTACGTGGTGGTTGGCGCACTTGTTGGTAAGAAACTTGTAATTACCAGCGTATAATGTTGCCCCTTTACGTCACAAGTTGCAACAATTTACGCTCGCGCGGTACACTCAAATTAAGTATTTATTAACGAAGGCTACTTCGAAGTATGCTTATTTATTTTTCCTACATACGTAATTACAGTATATGACTGTGACGTTTTCGCCGACATATATGTACGCAGGCATAGTGCATACTATACGAAGATTGGCGCGCAGTGCTCATTCAGCGTAATATAAGGTCACTTTAATTTAGTTTATTTCGTTTTAATTTTTTACATGAAGTCTATTGGCGATTTGTATAGTTTCTGATTCGCAAGTCATGAGAGAATTTTTTGCAAATAAAACGTAAAACATTTATTTATGAAAACTTTGTTTTGGTGGGAAGACAACAAACAAGGGTGGAGTGTTTAAAAACGAATTCGAATACGTATTAAAAGTGAATCGAACATCCTCATTTTTTGCAATAGTTTTGTCATTCTGAAGTCGGAAAGATTTGATTTGCTTGCGTCCTAAAAAATGTTGACACTATTCTGCTGCACTTTTAGGTCTTGCCCTATTGGTCATCGCCACAATCTTCATCGTCCGCCTGCACCGTCGCCGCGGCCGGGAGTTCTCCATCTCCCTGACCAGTGACCAGCCCAACCCGCCGAAACTCTCCAGCGTCAACGCCCAGGACTATACCCTCACCCGACTACCCCGCACCACCAAGCTCTTCATGAGCGACATGGAGCGCAATCCCTGGGCCTACACCAACCCCGACTTTCAGGCGTCCCTGCCCAGCCTGCACGCCCCGGGGCGGAAGACGGAGTACCTCAATTTCGTCAACCACGGGGTCATCCCCTCGCGTCAGCGTCTGTCTAGTCCGGATTCCTCGTCCTCCCTGACGAAGAATCCCCTGCTACAAGTGACCCACTGGGGACAACGACAGGCCGATGCGTCCATGTCGACGGCCACGTCTACGGCCCCGGCGTCGTCCACGTCGCAGCGGGAACGCAGTGGCCATAGTGAGCCGAAAAGCAGCTCCTCTTCGTAAACTAGTCTTTCAGTTGTGCGATTGACGCAGTTGTATATAGTGTTTTACCTCAGTTTGTTGGATATGAACAGACTGATTTTACCAAAGATTTTTTATGTAAGATAAGGAAACACGGGAGCAGCGCGTAAATATGCGTTGTTTGCTGAACCAGTTCTGATGACAAACTCCAGTTCCACAGAATGGCATTGTAAACTCTTGCGGAATTTTGATTGCTTATTGATTTTTGTTGTCGTTTATGCGATGATTTACGGCGTATGATATAAAGATTGGCCATAAAGTATCGTTAATAGTCAAACATTGTCAAGACAGGTTTTCATTGACCTTTCTGAAATTTTTATAGTTACTTGTGTCATGGGTGTATTTAAGTGCTAAAGGCCAAGTTAATTTTGCATTATATTCTGGTAGGCCTTGAGACTCCTTGGGGAGACACGGATTCGTCCCATCAAGAGTGTGGAAAATTCCGGAGATGTAAGAGCAACGGTCTTCAGAAAAGAATAGTTTATTGATAAGAAACAAAAGCGTTCCTTAGTACTTTACAGGAGATGTAGTTCGTGCAAGATCAAACAATACCGCTCGTAGAATCGAGCCGTTGTAAAGTAACAGCATCGTCCCCAGCACCACGGGCAGTTAAAGATATGTAAGAAGGACAGGAGAAGAACACCCAGCTACCCAGTAGCAACAAAGTAGTTCTAGGATTTCGTCCCCTGCAAAAGGAGGTGCAACATAAACTTCATACATGAAAAGCTGGAAGTAAGTATAGCACATCAACAGGCTGTACCAAAATGGAAGCAATCCTACAACTTCCGATGCTATTAAGAATTCTCAAAATATCTATACTATATTATAGATACAGTACAAACGTACGGTACAGACATACGTCTGTAGACATACGTACAGTATGTAGGTATGTAGGTACATAGGTACAGAATGTAGGTACAAGAAAACACAATAAAAATCGCTGCAATACAGTACGTGACAGGAACTGTGCTGCAGTTACGGAGCGGTACGTGTGATCAAAATGGCAGCGATCCTAGCCGTTTGTGCTGTAAAATTAATAACTACTATAAAGTAATTGATAAAACATCAGTAAATAGGTTGTCAAAAAAATTAAATTATTTTAGGAAGATGTAATAACTAGTACGTATTGTTTGCTTATTACATGTCCAGTACATACGTTGTGGGTAAAGGTTGTTTAAAAGAACAACCAGACTATGACCGGCGATGGCTATCTCTTATCTGCTGCACAACACACTGCAAACTAGGGTCATTCACGTTCCTACCGGAAGACACAATCCACCAAGCCGTGATTCTTCGTTCGTTGGGTACGATACTTCATTTACTGTACAGTGAACGGTAATATAATCGACAATTCTCAATAAAAATATTATGCTGCGATACTGCTTTTATTGATAAAAATATCTCTGAAAAGAGAAATATTGAATTAATCATGCAGGCACCTGTCGGGAACGGCCTGAAACAGATAAATTCCAGCGAGACGCTGCCGCTGCCATGTCAAAAAGAATTCTGCGTGGGAACTCGAAGAAGCCAGGTAACCATCCTGCCGTTTACATTCGCGTAATCTACCGTCATTTGTTCAATCATTTTATATTGTTAGTGGAAATTTTACAGCTCGCCATAGTGCAAACAAATTATGTGGTCAGTCGGCTTCGTGAAATAAATTCGCGAGTGGATTTCTCCATAAGTAAGTCTGATTCGTGAAGAGCGAGTCGCTTGGTTCTGCATTCGCTGACTTTTTCTCCTGTCAGTTATTTGTTTGTGTTTTTCAAGTTGGAATGGACACTATCGGAGATGACATCCAAGTCACGGCGCTGTCGAAGGTGCGTTTGCTTTCTACTCTGGTACATGATTAAATTCTCTAATTTGGTTGAATAAAATGAAATATTACAGTATTTAATTTTATCTTGCCGAATACTGTATAGTACGTTTACATGGAACATTTACATATATGCTTCGCTGGCAGTACAATCACAATGATACAAACCTGAGAGAAATAGTTATACTGGTGGTTTTAGATTGGTGAAAAATCGTTGTTCACAAAAGAGCTAGAAGTAGCGCTGGACCAGAAGAAAGTCGATTTTGTCGTGCATTCCCTAAAAGATTTACCCTCAACCTTACCGGAAGGACTAACCATCGCAGCAGTTTTACTGTAAGTATGCTGATTTGTTAACCACAATGGTTTGCAAGAAAGTGAAGTTTGCGATATAACTGCACTGTAAATCTTCCCGGTTAGACGAGAAAATCCCCAAGATGCCGTAGTACTTCGCCAGGATCACCATGCGCGCTGTAAGACAATACAGGAAGCCGGCAACACATGGACACTGGCCAATCTGCCGGAGGGCGCGGTTGTGGGAACGAGTTCGCTGCGTCGCGCGGCACAACTGAAACGGCATTATCCGCATTTGCTCTTCAAAGATGTGGTAAGCGATCGAGCAGACTTGATGACGCCCGCTATCATTCGAAGAACAAAACCCTTCGCTGATTTGACCGGAACATTCGATCATGGCCGTGGAATTTCGTATTCTGCACGAATTGTAGACACTGGCCCATAGCTGTGCTTTGATTTACGAATACATAATTTTATACTTTATGAAATACACTTCCGTTGTAGAGAGGTAATCTTAACAGCCGATTGAGGAAACTGGATGATGCCAACAGCCCCTACGATGCTTTGATTCTCGCTACAGCTGGACTGCTGCGTTTGGGTTGGCAAGATCGAATTAGCATTGTGAGTGGCAGTGACTTCCTGTAATTCTGGTTTTTCAGTGTCAACGAGGTTAATTTCTGCTTATTAAAAATACAACTGCTATGTATCTTCGAGTACGTTCAGGCACGTATATATACAACTATTTTAAGATTAGCTTGCCCGAGTTACAATTCGGAAAAATTAGCAAATCAGTCACTAATACAAGTAGGTTGTAGATTTTGCCGACTGCCGATTGTTTGTACGCCGTGGGTCAGGGTGCGCTGGCCGTCGAATGTCGCAGTGATGATGTGGAAACATGCAACCTTCTGCGAGGGTTGGTCGACCCCGATACAACGTTGTGCTGCGTTGCGGAAAGGGCACTGTTAAAGTATTTGGTACGTCCGGAGACAATTATTATTTGGGCCAACAAAACTATTGATTACAGTGCTCTTAAACATTTACGGCTTTTTGGCGTGATCGCATCGGTCATCAGCAGTTCTGTTTTAAGGAATTATGATTTTGTGTTTTAGGAGGGCGGTTGCAGCGTACCGTGTGCGGTCAGTACATGCATTCAAGAACATACTGTAAGTCAATGACGAATAACACAGTAGTTATTACGTTAATTAATTTGAATTATGTAATACATCAAAGTTCAAACCTCTTCGTTTTGGCTGATTATTAAGTACCGAATTTCGTATACACGCGTCGAGCGTAAAATTTTGTCCTACTTGTATAAACATTGTTGCACACTTAATCGATACAACTAATTGTTAATTAGTTACCTGATTAATACATTATCAATAATTAATAGGTACGTCATATCAACTGATACAGATACTTGCGTTGCGGTTTGCGTCAAATGGTTGTACAGAATTATAGAAATTTCTTTGTAGCTTTCGATGAAAGCCGGAGTGTATAGTCTGGATGGATCTCAAGCGGTAGAAGATTGTATTGAGGTACTTGTACCGTATGTAAATGCGAAAAAGAAGTCTGCCAGTGCATCAACGCAGACGCCTGTTTAGGTGAATTTACTTCCGGTGGAGCCGGTGGAGAACGAATACCAGCTGGACAGCGATTATGTTAGTATCCACCACCAACACCTAAACAGGACAATGCTGGACGCTGCTGTGCAAGCCGGCATAACGTTAGCCAAGAAATTAGAAGCAAATGGCGCCCTGAATATTCTAAACGAAGCACGACGCCAGACACGGGCCGCCAATATTATTAATCTTCCAACATCGGGCAGTGCGAAAAATGCCGTTTGAAAATCTGGTGTACCTCATGATCAGTAACCCGACAACAGAGCTGTGAAAATTAATAAGGCCCGAATTTTCCTCTACGAAACTTCTATATTCAAGTGCGAATTAAGCAGAATGCTGCTAGGACAGTGCTTTATATCCGTTGCTTCAGTTAAGTGCATTAATGTATTTAACTGCAGTTGCAGGAAATTATTGTACGTAGCAAAGTCGTCGTTAATACAGCCAATGGATTGATAAATCGAAGCGTACAAATTAGGCGAAAATTATTAAAATTAAAGGTAAAAAAAAAGATTTGTGTTCGTCACTCGAGTGAGCTGAGCCGGTACGTGGCAAAACATACAGACATAAACATCAAAATTAATTAACTATATTTACTGGCTTGAGCCGATACGCCAATAATTCAGGCCCACAAAAAAGCCAAATTAAAATTTTGTCCAGCCCGCGCAAGTGGAGCCGTCGGCAAAATGCCCAAAACCAAGCGAAGTGGTCATAAAATGGATCCTTGGAAACTGGAAAGTGACCACTGAACTGCCTTGACCTGATCTGCAAAGCAAAAGAGTGGTTATTGTAACCACTCGTGTCGCAGTTGCAGCCACCCCTGGAACTGCACTGTACCAACTATTCCACTCTAACAATTGTCTGTCCGCACGCGGATGGCTGGACCAGGCTGGTGAATACAGTCAGCTGGTTGTCATTTCCAGCTTCCACTTGCTGGCTTGCAGTGAAATTTTCTATCTGCAGTTTCTCTGATCCTGTTTCTTTTTCCGGGTGCAGAACAGCAACCTGGACTGTTGTATCGTGAATTTCGGCTATGCAGCTTTGATTTCCCTGTTTTTTAATAACCCACCACCATGACCAACCCCGTCCTGCAGAAGGACGGCGAACTGCCCCCGCGGATCAAAGCCGATGCCATCCAGCATTTTGGCAGCATCAGCGACGGCCAAGTGCATCGTCTCGTCTGCACAGAACACACTGCTGTCGCCAAAACGGAGAACGGTGGAAGCGAAAACGGTACCCACAACGGCCATGTACAGGACGCGCATACAGGCTCGTTGAAGATCATGCAGGAGCTGGCAGAAAAGTTGCAGGCACCGTTGATTACCGTGGGCGAGCATCTGACGGAGAAGGAAGACGGGGAACCCGCAATGACGTACGACGTGAAGAATGCCGTGTATCATCTGCGCATTGCGGATCTGGAGCAGTGTGCCAATAAGGAATGCGCGGATACGCTGAATCTGGTAAGGATTACGGTGTACTCTGAAATCCTAACATCCGATTTGCTCGGATAGGAGGAATAAGAATTACGCAAAATTTGTCGCGTACTAAAAATTCAGGTTATTATGATACTATCCGACCTTCCCGCAACTTTGCTGAAAGAAACTCGTAAATGCAGTTTTAGTATAAAGTCGTTTTATGAACCGGACAACGAATTCATAAAATTTTCTGAATTTTAAAATGAAATTTTCGAAATTTTTGTACTTCATTTTAAATTTTGGAAATGATGCCATGGGACTAGAAACGTTTTCAAAATCATATGCATTTTATTATTTTATCACAAGATCAGTACAGGCTGAATTTTTGTTGCATGAAAATTGCGTTTAAACTTTTTGTCCATTTTTATTGCGGAATGTAAACGGGCAGTCATTAAATAATTGGCAGATTTGTTTGTCCGTTGTCCGTGAAATGATTAATTTAAATTTTCCGGTGGAAAAATAATAGTTAATTCCGAATATGACTTTATTAATTTATACGCAAATTGCTGATAAATTCTGACGTTTTAGGCAGCCGCCCAGACCGCCGTGAAGGTGCTGCACTCAGGTGTGCGCGCCCTCCTGCTCTCCTACGACGGCATCCGTTTCCCGCCGAATCCCGATGCCTTCACCGCGGCGCCCTTCGCCTTCATGCTGAACGGGATCCTGCAGAATAATTTCCGTCTGCAGTACCGGGACGAGCACTCGGCGGCCAAACGCGAGGCAGCCCGCGTCAAAGCCCTGCGCGAGCAGAACCGGGTGGTGGCGCGCGGTCGCGGTCGGACGGTGCAGCCGGAAGCGACAAACCAGCCGATTCCCGTTGATGTAAGTGGGGAAGGCTGTTACATTTGAACATTATAATACTATTTTAAATGAGCACTTATTAATTTGTGCCGACGAATGTTGAGACGACTAATTTGATGAGACGACTAATATTTTACTCCGGAAAAATAAATTCCCATATATTTTTTGCATAATTACCGAAGCTAGTTTTACATTTGTTACTTATTGAATTTAACATAATTTAAGCGTTTTTTTACATTGTTACCACATTTACACTGTCGACCTAATACATAAGCTGCAGCAGTGTTATTTAAGATAGATGCGCTTGTTGGTTTTTTACCTCTATTTCCCTCCGTTTTGAATTTTTTTTTTGTTTTCAGCCATTTCATCCGCTGAGTCCGCAGCAGGTCTGGGTGAAGGTGTCAGTTCACGAAGACAGTCACGAATTCGATGGGATGAAGTTGTCGACAGAAGAAACTCACGAAAAAGCATGGAAATGGTTAGTGTGAGGTTTTCCCTTCGTGGAATGCAATATGATGAACGGCGTTTCTTGTTTGATGCGGAGCAGTATATTCTGTGAATTTGTAGGTGGTCGCAGTTGCGCTCCTACATCCGCATCAACCCTAAATTCTGTCTGGCCCTGGAACTCGGCTCGGATATCCCCTCTGGTAAAGATCGGTGAGCGCTGGCTGGCCGAGCGTCTCCGCTGCATCATCATCCCCACTTCCGTGTGGAAACGGAACAAAATGGATCTCCCGGTGCTACCCGCGCCCCTCAAACAGTTCCTCATAAAGACCTTCCATCTCCCGTCCCTCACCTACCTCGTCGCGCTGCCGGATCAGACTTTATGCCCGGCTCCGGTCAACGGCGTCCACGTGAGCCCGCAGCTGGCCACGGAGATGGAACGGCGCTTCTGTTCCTGTTGCACTGCTACCGCCAGTATTATCGCACGGTGGATGACCCGAATCGCCGGGATTTGGTGCGGCATATGGGGGATGTGCCGATCCGGCCGCTGCAGCCGTTGCGCGACCATCTGACGGCGGAGATCTATACGGTGTTCGAGACGGATCCGGTCAAGTATAAGCTGTATGGGAGAGCGTGTGAGAAGGCGTTGGGGGATCTGAAGAAACGTGGATACGGTGGGGATGCGACGACGAAGGTGGTGGCGATGGTGTTGGGCGCCGGACGTGGACCGCTGGTAACGGAGTTTATCCGCGCCGCTGATGCACTGAACATTCATTATAAGGTTAGTCATATTAACGGTTTTCTTTCGTTGTCACAATAAATATAATTTAATAATATTATTTTCCCAGTAAATAGATCATTATTATTATTTTTATTTTGGCTCGTGTTTTATACGGCATTTCTGAGTGAAAATATTGTACATGCTTGGTTCAACTGTACATCATAAGTGTACGAGCCATCAGAATAAAGTGAAGATTGAAATTTAATTGTAAAAAAATTGTTTTAATTGTATTCAAATTACTATTTAATTATAGTTCGATTACGAGTAGGGTTTCTTACTTGTTTAGTTTTCTCAACAAACTTTTTTCGGTCTGAATGAATGAAGAGTGTAAATGAAATTGCCATGTGGTCCCGTTTGCCGTTCTGTACATATCCTAATCCAAAAATGCAGCATTTTGCTTGCTTTTATATGCAAAAGTCGGGATCGCTGTCAGCTGTTTGTTTGAAGTAAGTGTGATAATTTTCGGATAGGTTTACGCTTTGGATAAGAATCCCATCGCCATTTGCGCGATGCTGGCGAAATTTCAAACAGACTGGGCCAACCACGGTGACCGCATCCAGGTGATCGCGTCGGACATGCGGGAGTTCCAGCCGAGCGAGAAAGCGGATATCATCATCAGCGAACTGTTGGGCTCTTTCGGCTGTAATGAGTTATCGCCGGAGTGTTTGGATGGGGCGCAGCACCTGTGGAAGCCCGACGGAATTTCCATTCCCTCTTCGTACAGCAGCTTCCTGCAGCCGATCATGGCCCATGCCCTGTACGAGGATGTGGCGACGTTTGGCCCCAAGAAGCAGCACCTGTTGAATGACGTGGTCCTGACGGAGCTGCGGGGATTTGTTCCCATTGCGGCATGCCAGAAAGTGTTCACCTTCGAGCATCCGAATTTCGGTAGGTTGGTATATTGTGGATAGAGTAATGCCATAGTTTGTTAAATTTCATTTTTGCGTGGAATTACAGTTATGTGCCAGGTGAAACTTAGTTACTGTACTAACTGATGTGTGATAGACGTATCGATGATGGCAAAATGTACGATATACGAGTCGTATATCAAGATTTTCTGATAAAAAATGTATTCTGACAACGGTATCAAAGCTGCAGAACAAATTTAAAAAATGCGACTACAACTTACATGCAAATTAAATTAAATTCCGAATTAACCCAACAAAGTCAGCTACCAGAAGGAACGTGAATACCAATCTAAAAATTTGTGGGTCTTCCTCAAATAATTCAATCAAGAAAAATTATTTTTTTGGGAATTTTCTTGACCATAGGTCAAGCAGGGCGATAGCCTGCCAAACTGACAGGGATGGGCATCATGCCATTTGGCAGGTAAAACGCCGGAATTTATGGGAAACGATGGGGAGATCGCACTGAGAAGCACGACTATTTAAAAAACCGTTTTGACAAGATCTACATTTGTCAGATACTGTTATGGTCATCGAAATGACCAGTGGTCAAGAAACGGTAAAATTGCACGAAAGTATGTTTCGAGCGGCCATAGGCTAACAAAGGTGCAAAATCCACTTTGTTTTATATAAGGACAATACAAAATGACCCTAGGTCACACAAAACAACAGAATATGTCGGCACAATTAGATATGCGGTTTTGTCAGTTATACTCCCGTTATACTGCATGATACACTGCAACAGTAACAGCAGTACATATGTACTTATTTGCCGTTTCCTGTTTTAATTTAACTTTTAGTGAACTTTTTAATTTTTTAGATGGTACAACTACTGAACTATAAGTAAATTATGCAGTCTAAAAGTTGCCTGCCCCTAAAAATTCGGCGATAGCTTCCCTTATTGCATAACTTGCATTAAACCCTGTAAAGCACATCGGCACCGGCACTACCGGCAAGGTCATTTCCGCTATCACGCATTTACACCACAACAACTGACTGCAAGATGCAACTCATAGAACGTGGAGATGTTGCGCAGAATTAAAACGGTAGTATGTAGATACATTTCATATAATTTTACGCTCCCATTGATGCAAATCATGCCATTACATCATATCCTGAACTGGGTGAAGACCATCATGCAGTTCTTTGTTATGTTTAGGGCTATTCAGAGCAACCTACAGAACGGTGATGAAAAAAGATATCAAACAGCTTCAGTTTTGCAATGTCACATTTATTCTTACATTTCACAATTTATTCGAAAGTAACAGCCTAAGTTTTCCGACAAAAAACATGAATTTTGGAAATTTTTCTGTTGTTGACCATTGGTCAGTTTGATGACCACCGAAGCAAAAGGCATTTTTGCACTGTTTTTGTCTGATTTTTTGATTCCTTGTGGGACATTTTACCAAGTATCTGAGATTTTATAAAGAAGTCATAGTTTTATTGTTAAAGTAGCGCCATGCCCATTCCTGTCAAACTTGGCAGGAAATTTTTGAATGACCCTGTTTGCCCAATGTCCAGTTATTTTTCAAACCATTTGGTGCTTTTGTAATGTCAGCCACCGGGTCTCTTTGAGTGATTTATCTGTAAATTATCGGGTAATGGGAAAGCTGCAGGAGCAGCCAAGACCTCTACGAACCCAAAAAGTGCAATTTCGGTCATCTTTGGTCAATGGTCGTGTGCCCTATACGGGTTTCATTTGATGGTCGAATTTTTTTCAACAGCCAGCAACATCCCTGCTGTGAAATAAAATCATTGAACATAAGTTTCTTCCATTATGAGCTGGAAGGGGAATAAAGTCCGCCACCCTGCCATTTGACAGGGATGGTCGGGAATGGGTTAATCAAATTAGATTAATAAAATCAAATTCCTCGCACGCAATAGCAAGTTATCATAATAATTTCATGTCATTAACAGGTTTAGACTTAAGTACTTTAAGTTAACGACAATTTGTAGTCCAGTGGCAATTTTGTTTCTACCTCTTCAATTAAGTGCTACTACTATGTACATTTCAGTCATCGTTGCTGCTTGAAGAACTTAGTTTAATACCTGTACTTACCTAGCATTCATCTGCTGGGATTTGTTTTCTGGTTTTGATCGACGCACATTGTATTATGCGAGGGATGAGAAATTTTCTAAATTAAAAAATTTCACAGTATTTTGTAAACTGCCGATTTTATGGAAATTGTCTAGGTATTTTTTACAACTGTTTTCTTCCTATTCAGCTCCACATTCCAACGAGCGCGAGGCCACGCTGACGTTCACAGCGGACCAGGCCTACACCCTCTCGGGCTTCGCGGGCTACTTCGATCTGACGCTGTACAAGGACGTCTCCATGAACATCCATCCGGAGCTGCACACCACCGGCCTGACCAGTTGGTTCCCGGCATTCTTCCCGCTGATTCAACCGGTGGAGGTGGCGCGCGGCGACACCATCCGCGTGACGATGGCGCGACGGGTGCGCCTGAGCGAGCGGCGCGTGTACTATGTGTGGCAGTTGCAGGAGCCGGTGATGCTGCCGGTGCAGAATGCGCGTCCCGATCACTGGATGTCGTTGTAAGAGGAATAGTTTATAGTTTAATGCGGTCTTTGACTAACGAGGGAATAATTGGTCGGATTTTTGTTAAAGTTGTGTTGTTTAACTTGATTTCGGAGTGTGATAGGAGATACTATCAGACGGATAATTTACGGGCTTGTGTACTGTTGCTGCTCTTTCGCACTCTTGTTGTTTGGTGTTGAAAATCAGGGATCTATGGGCTTCTGTACATGGTACCTCTCTTCTCAGGTTTTCGTAGTTCTTTCTTAGTTTAGAAAATTACTGGTCTTCTGTTGGTGTTGTTGATTTTTTGTTAATTATCTTCGGAATCAGTATTGTTCAGGCACATTGTGGCTTCTGAGTAGTACTGGCGTTGTTTTTCGGGCGGGTGATGAACCATTGATGCAGGACGGTGGCGATAGTTTGGTAAATACTTGGAAACTGGAATAGATTAAAACTGGAATAAAAAAATTGCGATGAGTTTTGCTGACTGACTTCAGTAGCAAGTGTAGTGGAGTGCAACCTGTTGCCGTGATACGATATCACTAATCAAAGTGCTACGATTAACATTATTACCTGGATAACAAGATTTAATCTTTCTTTTCTGTTTTTCCAAACAGATAACACACACGCAACTTCCAATACAAAAAAATGTAAAGCACCGTCTTTGCACTGATACTACAGTCAGTACAGTGTACTCGTACTTCAATACACACAAGGTTTAATCTTTCAAGAGATATTTGGTAGCAAAACCAATACGTAAACATGGACGAGATCCTGTACGCTTCAAACAATAACTCCTTTATCACAGCAGCGATTACGCTCCTCTTGGTCATTAAAACAGCGTTGAGCGTCCACGGGGACCTTCACATGGTGTCGTGCTCGTTGTCCATCCCGCCCTCCTCGAAGCCCCCCTCATCATCCTCGAACTCCGCGCCCGCCGTGTAATCATCCACATCCGAGTCGGATTTGACGTTGGTGTCCTCCTCCTCGTCCTCTTCTTCCTTATCCTTGGCCTCCTCATCCTCCGGACCGGCTGGTTTTGCCTTGGGACTCCCGGGATCCTCGCCGTCGCGTTCGGAGCGTTTCTCCGCGTCCTCCACGCTTTTCTGAAGCTTCTTCGGGGCTTTCTTGCCACTCCGCGACTTTTTGGCGCTGAAATCCGGAGGGCAGAAGTACTTCGCTAGAGACACATAATTAACAACAGACGCACGCAGAGATGATTATGCAACGGCGTACTCGGCTTGAAGACATCGTCGTTGAAGCGACTGGCGCGCATAGCGTCGATGGACTGTCGATATCGCAGAAGCTTCTCCATGGACTCTTTTTTCTTCTCGCTGATGTGCGGTTCGGGAATGTTCAGGGGCTGAGAAATAAAATTAACTTATTAAGGGGTCCGTTGTGGAAGTGAGAGTAATGAAGTACCGGATACAACGGTGGCGGATCCAAGGATTCTCCAGAAACTCCGGAAGCACTGGATGGAATGCTGGGTGCATTAGCAGATTGACTTGCAGTTGCTAATTCCGTTTTTGCCATGGTGGTATGTGCAAGTCACGAAACTGACAGTTTAAAAATCCACAGAATCGTATAGATTGATGTCGATTGTCGAAAGATACTGCATAAAGTATGAGGGACGAAACAAAGTGAACGTTGCGAGACAAAAAAATGAAAAATCAGAATACAGAAAATCAGAATACAAAATCAGAAATGAATGAAAAATGAAAAATCAGAATGAAAAATCAGAATACAAAATCAGAAATTCGGTTGTGGCTTCTGCAGTAGCGTCTGACGATTTGCGGCAAAAGCCGAACACCGGAACACCCAAAAACGACAACATTCCAGTAGCGACTACCAGTAACTCGTTCGATTGGGAATCCAATGGAACCGGAAGTGAATATTAGTTGGCGTGTTGTGGGTTGCGTTTACCAATGGAATCGGAAACGATCTGCATTTTTCATGTTTTACGCGCCTTCGTCGCAGCAGTTGAAACGGTGAAACCATCTGAAAACTTTCTGTTTTCCACAAAACTCAATAAAATTCTTTCGCCATTTAATTGAATAATTAAATTTCTGACACGATGTCGTTAAACCGTTTTATGCATCCGCGAAACATTTACAAATCCCCGCCGGATTTCCGTAAACTCTCCGCAACTAATCCGGATCTGGCGGAGTACATGAGCATCGATGCGGAGCGCAACACCGTCTCCTACAACTTCGACAATCCCGCGGCACTCCGCGCACTGACATGCGCGCTGCTGCGCCAGGACTTTGGTTTATCGGTGGATCTGCCGTTGAATCACCTCATCCCCACCGTGCCCAATCGGCTGAACTACGTTCTGTGGGTGGAGGATCTGCTGGAGAGTCAGGGATTGACGACGGGGGAGGTTTGGGGATTGGATGTGGGTGCGGGTGCGTCGTGTATTTATCCGCTGCTGGGCGCGCGGAAAAATGGCTGGCATTTTGTGGCGACGGAATCCAACGACGAAGCCTACCAGTTTGCCAAAAATAATGTGGAAAGAAATGGTCTCACCGAGAAAATTTTAGGTACGACCATTGACAACTACAGATACAATCAGTAACAATCTGTCCATATCTATCGTGTGATCATGCCAAGAAAAAACCCTACCTATTTATTATCGTTTTGTTATGAATATTATCTGTATTTTTATTTTTTTGAGACCTTATTTTTAATTCTATTTCTTGCCCATATGTTCTAAAGCCCTGCGTAAAATCTTCGTTGTTTAAGCATGAAAGAATGAATTTTTTACATTTTGTTTTAATTACGATTAGTAATAATTTTGCAAAAAAATACCGATATTGTTTTAAGTGCTATGAAATAAAATGCAAATAATATTGAGATTTTATTAGGAGCATGTTAGGCTGCCTCGTGAAAAAATTTTGCTGATCCAGTAATTTTTATTCCTAGCATTTTAACATGTGCGCTCACTGCGCATGCGCCAGCAGAATGCAGCACCAAACTTTTGTTATGATATGTTTTCAGTTTTGATTACAACTTGTGTCTTAGTAGCGGTTTGTAATCTTATGTAGCGGTGTGCTGGTTGTAGTGACGAAAGGAGACGAGCAGTCGCCGCTAATGTCCGCGGTAGAGTCATCCGGGCGACACTTCACCTTCTGCATGTCCAATCCGCCGTTCTTCGAATCCCAGTCGGAGCGCACCGAAAAGGCGTCGTACAAACCGCCGAAATTGAGTGCCAACCCGGTAGCTGAATCGGATGCCGTGGCGGAGGGCGGGGAAGTGGCGTTTGTCGGGAAGATGATCGAGGAAAGTCTGCTCCTTGAAAATAAAATAAAGTAAGCTGTCTTAGAAATGTATGAGGTTTCTGATTTTGGTTTTAAAGAGGTTTTGTTTCGTATTTTATTTTTGATTTGTAGATATTTTTTTCTGTTTACCTCTAAACAAAAAATGATATCGTCATCGTCAGGCCCAGCAAAATGTGGAAATAATGGCTGAAGTCCATTCAAATGTAGAAATCGAATTTCATAACAATTCATTTTCATTTGTTAGTGCGTTCTTCGCAGTAGAGTATGGACATGGGTCATGAAATGTGGTCGGTTTCCGAACGTGTTTTCATGTCTGTTTTGTTTTGATTATTGTATTTATGTACGTATTTACGTTTTTATATACTTATATTGTATTGATTATTGTATTATATTTCTTGGATATTTGCAGTGTCCTGAACTGGCTAACTTGTGGATATCTTTGTAGGATCTATACCTCGATGCTGGGGAAAAAATCCAGCCTGACGCCGCTAAAAACTCTCCTCCACTCCAAGCACCTCGCCTTCACCACCACCGAATTCTGCCAAGGTCGCACGATGCGCTGGGGTCTGGCGTGGTCCACCAGCCTCAACCTGGACGACCACCCCCTCCCGCATCCACTCAAAACCCTCAAGAAACCCGTCTCCTACCCCATCGATTTCGGCGCGCAGTCGGAGACCTCCCGGATGAGCATCTGCCTCCGCGTCATGGATCTCTTACAGTCCGAGCTGCAGATGTACGTCGTGGCGGAAGGCGCCGGCAAGTGGCGGGTGGCGGCCACCGAGATGACGTGGCGCAGTCAGCGTCGGAAGCGGCGTGAGAAGGAGCGGATGGAGGTGGACGGGGAGGAGAGTGTCCCGGAGAACGGGAAACCGGTGGCGGCCGGCGGGTATGTGCTGCAGTTCTTCCTGCTGGTGCGGGCGGATGCGTTCCGCTATGGGGTGGAGTTGGAGTGGGTGGACGGGGAGAAGCGGGAATACCTCCACGAGGTGGTGGTGTTCTTGAAAAATCGCTTGGCGGAGGTGATCGCCAAATAAAGGGTCTCTTGAATAGTGTCTATTTTTGTTTTAATAATTCTTGTTGACGATTCGAGGTCTGATTGCTCAGTCGCTTTTGCAGATTGTGATATGGTTCCGGTCAGGTTCCGGTTATGGGAGTCATTAAGTGTTGCTGTTGGTTTGGTTACCTTTTTCCTGATCTCTCAATGAATTGAAACCTTATTGTATGAGCTGTTCGAGTGTAAAACGAGACAGATCAAAGTGGAAAATCCCGGCAAACTGTAGCCCAACACGGCTTCACCTCTTATCCATTGAAAGAAAATGCCGAATAACCGAAACTAAGTGCGAGTATAGCCGACAAAACTGTCCTGTTTAAAAACCCAGTCCGCCAAAAATGACTTATTACAAACTTGCATCCAGGCACTTCACATTTCACCATAGATAAATGGGCCGAAAAAGCTGGGCAGGAAAAATTTATGAATGTTGCTTGAACGTTGAACAGTTGCACCGCCTGACATTTATGCCGGTTTTAAAGGCACAGATGTCCGGAGGAAAGGTTTTGTTTTACAGCATAAAATTTTAATAGCTATATAATATTAAGTATTATTATTTATTACTAGGAAAAACTATGAATAGAAAACCGTCATTATGTGAATTAACGTATGTAGAAAGCCCATATTGTACCGTAGTGGAAAAAGCTACTTCCGGGACGTGATTGTTTGCACCGCCCGGTGTGGCAGCGTGAATTTGCTTTTAGTTTCAAATATTTTCAATACTTAATGTTTCAAATTCCCACTGGCCATTTCCAAATGTCCAGATGTGCAATTCTGTTGAGGTTTTGAATTTGTTATTTGTATTAAGACGAGTATTTTCTTGCCAAAATCGACTTTCTGTCCCTTTTCTTAATGGTCGCGGATTCCCTGCAATTACGAGAATCATTGTAAGGGGTAAAATTGCCTCAGGTAAGGCAGTGCTGGTAGGAAAGAATGCATCGGTTGATGGTTGCAGTCTCGCAGACGGCAGACCTACAGTTTGCTATACTTGCTGTACAGATACTTGCAGTTGCAAACTGTACTTGTAGAATGTAGAAGGAAAAAAGCGTAGAAATTAAATTTCTAAATAAACCCCGACAGCATGTGCCGTGCATGGAGTACGACTGTACGAGTACTCTTGAATCGTACATATGTAGTTGAGGAAATGCATGGCTGGAACTGTTTTATAATATTATGAGCTGCATTTTCTGAAAACGACTTCGTACTTCGTATATTATAGGAACATAAGACTAAGAGTTACTGATTGCGAAGCTTTGGTTTGACTTTGCATCACAGTAATTTCTGCGCGCAGTAACTGAGTTGTTTTTCCGTTAGTAGTCCGCTACGTTGTTCCCAGGGTTTTTGTGGTTGGTGGTGTTGAAATTCTGTACTACGCTCGTAGCCGAAGTCACTGACGTACTGGGAAAACCGTAAGACAGCACAGTTATGGCTATGTTCTGGTGTAGAATCGCACATGCGTCCCATTGCAGTTGCAGTAAATTACAACACGCGCTGTTTGCAGCCTTGGACTTTTTCTCCACTTTCTGCCATCTGCACAACAAGAAAAATGATTCATAGCGGAGGAGTTCGACTGCGCTGTGCCTGGCCCTACGGCTCCGCGACTCTTTCCAGCGCTCCACGAAGGTACAGTAGAACTACCATAGAAAAATACGAATGCTATTTGTTGGTTAGTAGCTATGCTCGGCACGCCATGGCGGACCATTGGTTGATAATGTTGATTCATGATTGTCGTTAACTGTTGACAGCAGCATCTTCCCCGCTAAACTGATCCGTGGAGGAGGGGTTCCCCTGCGTTTAGCCTGGCGCTGTGTGACTTCATCCAGCGCAGCCCGCAGGTACAGTACAACCATACTCGTATGTAAGTCGTACTGTACGCAATATGCATGCTAGTTGCTAGTTAGTAGCTGCGCTCGGCACGCGACGGCGAAACATTGGTTGATGCACTGTGATGGCCGTTATCTGTTAACAGCAGCCCCTGCCGCACCAGTGGACCCAGTCAGATTCGCTTGAACCATCTGCCCAAACCCTCTTCCGACATCAGCCAGGAGGCCCTCCTACGTACCTCCTCCTCCCAACTGGCTCTACCTGACATTCTCCAGGGCGCCCCGGCCCACCACAAGCTGGAGGGGGGCGGCCTGCTCTTCGACGCCCCGTTGGTCCAGCAGCCCCTGCGCGACGTCGCTGAACAGTTGCACCGTTCCCAGTCCGAGTCGGGACGCCAGGTAATCCGGACGCCACGCCCGTTGTCTTTGTTTTCTGTTACGAGACCGCAGTAATTATGCGTGGCGTGTGATTGCTCGATTTAGATTTATTCAAGATTCGAGCCTCGGTTTATCCAAGATTTCTTTTACTTATGAATAATTTTTTTTCTGGTCAAGTGGGCCGGGCTGCAGATCCGTGCGGTGGACTGCGAGGACGAACTGCTAAAAAACTGCGCGTCCAAAACACACATCATCGAAAAGTGCCAGCGCATCGCCATCAAAGATGGCACGCCGTCTTCGGAGGTGCGGTACTATTTGAGTTCAGTTAAATCATTAAAGAATACAACGTACGCCGATGTCAAATTATTAAAATTCAATGTTGCTGGAAAATTCTGCCAGCGGTCGTTCGGTCAAAAATTCTGCCAATTTTTCCATGGTTAAATTATTCAGTTTATTCATGAGCAGACAAACAATAAGACCGAAAGCAGGACGCGCATGTGGTATTATTCTCTATTTAGTACAGTTGTGGTGGTGAAAAATGCCGATGGAGGCGTTATCGTAGTGTCGTTGCAGGTGGTCGCCGCTGGCAGTCAGCATCGGACGGGACCCTCCCTGGTCACTCGACAAGTAGGAGAGAAGCCTGTTGTCGGCTTCCTTGCTCCATCGCTGCGGAGCCGCTCCCTCTGCGGAGCCACCACCCGCACTTCTCCCTTTGCGCCGAAATTCATCCGCGTCCGCGGAATGTCCGGCATATGCCCACCGGAAATGCCCATTTTCCAGTTGCCGAGAATGCTCGATTTTTCGATTTTCGTGGATCTGAAATTTATTATCGAAGTATGTCTTTCTGTCCCGTCCTCCCTTCGATCTGACCTGATCGATCGATCGTATTTCTGTGGTTTTTTTTGTAGACAGTGAAGGAGTTGAAAGTGGACCTCTTCCGCCGCAGCCTCCAACTGCGACAAAGTCGGTTACATAAAAGTTATCAGAACGTGATATGTGCATTCAGTTAGCGTAAAATGCAGTTGTACGCACTACATCCACAGAAGTTGTGTTTGTGGCTCTTCAGAAGACACTGTGGATGTGGACAGCGCCACGTATCCCGTGGAGGTGGTCGTTGCGGCACTAAAGCGCGGTGAATATGAGGCAGTGCGGGAAGAAGTAGAGCGATTGTCCAACGCCGCCGCCGAACTGTCCATGCGGCAGCGCGTACAGCTGTCCTCCGCTTGCCTCCTGGCGCTGATGGTGTGCCGATCGCGGCTGAAAGTCTTCTACGGCACCCTGGCCGCGCCGGGAGATATGTCAGACGCGTCGCTCTCGGCGCTGGAACAGTTGCGTGACGCGGAAGTATGCAATGTTCGCGGCTTGGTTAAAAATCTGGATAGTATCCTACAGTCTGTCGTTGCCGGATCGCGGGTTCCTCTGGACGACGTGCTGAAGCCGCTTTTGTTCTGTTTATGGAGCCCGGTAGGCGTGCATTCACTCGGCGGTTTTTTGTCAGCGCACTGCAGCTAAACGGTTTTTTCCTGTTTCAGTTGTCTGTCTTCCAGTTTGTGGGTGTGCTGGATGTAGCCATATTATCGATTGGTCATCTCATTAGCGGCTACGACGGTGAACTCACGGAATCTGTAGGTAGGTGTGCGTGTGTATTCGGCGCTCATATCGCATTGCCAGGCTTGCTGACTGTCGTCATATGGATGTGACATTCTTTTAGTATGTACATAATTTCTCATGATTATACATCATTACTTAATTTTAATAATATTTTGGTGTGCAGTTGCAGTTGACTTTTGATAATTATGTAACCTGTTTTTCTGTTTGCAGATATGATTAAACTACCTGTACTGGTTCGGGATTTGGAGCAGGTAGCGGCGCTGATCGAAGCGAACGAGTTGGGCGGAGATGTGCAGTTTGCTGTGGGCAAGTACGGCGATTATTCGGAGGCGGATTGGCACTTCTTCGATGCCGATTATCAGGGGCCGGTCCGGATCACCGTGCACATGGGATGGGTTTATGCCGTCGTTCACAGCAGCGATGTGCATGGGATAGCCATTGGAGAGCTGATAGGGGCTGTGATGGAACAGCTGAAGAGGCGTGATTTTATTCAGGTCCATGAAACGAACAGGAAATACGAAGACCGTTTGGGATGCGGAATTATCCACACCAAAAAGAACGAGCAGTTCGTAATATTCGCCCCTGAACTAGGATCCACGGACATCGTGGTCGCCTTCGAGGTGGCATTTGCTAACGAAACCCTTATTGTCCAATTCATTCAAGCCTCTAACTTTTTGGGTCCCGAGACTTCCGTTCAGTACGTAATAGATATCGATATTTCTTACGATGGCCGATCGAAGAACCCTTTCTGGGCCACGCTGTACGTCTTTCGTCGCATGCCATCTCCCCGAGCAAAGAAGCGCCACAACCCCGCTGACGGAAAGTGTGACAACGCACTGAAAGGGGAGCCTGTGGGATCCGGTCATGACAAGTTTCATCTGCTAGACGGAAAGCCTGTGTACAATAAGGAAGTGATGAAAATGACGCGGGATGATATCCGGCGGGTGTTCGATATCGATCTAGTTATGAAACATCATGTGGACGACAGCAACTTGACGGAACCAGTGGAGGTGCATCTCGAGATCGTCTACCCCGATGGGTATGTGCGGCCTTTCACGGTTCTTCTCGACAGATTATTTCCGCGGGTGAAGATTTTCTGGGAAAAACATTTTGCCCAACTGGAAGCTGCTGGTGCCCGGAAAAAGTAGCAGGTGTTTTGTCCAGGAACGCGCACCACGGAACTGCATAGGATGGCCAGTGCGGCGCTGATGGAAACACTGCTGGCGCAACTCAATAAGCAATCCAATGATTTTGTTATTGCAAAGCGATAACACTCGAACTGTTTCTAGAAAAACGCATAAACGTGGATGGGATCTTGTATGCTTAAAAAAAACTCATTTTACCACAATTCGACAGTACGGTATTGGCCTCGTCATCGTCCTGACCGGGTGCTTTCGTCGTGGGACTCCCGGCCTCCTCGCCATCCCGTTGTTCCCGTTTCGCAGATTCTTCCACGTTCTTCTCCTGTTTTTTTTTTACTTTCTTGCTGTTCCGCGTCTTTTTGGCACTGAAATCCGATCTGGCACTGAAATCCGTACTTCGCTACGAATAAAAAATGAATTCAAGACTTGATAGTACTTACCAGCTGTTAGAGTGTAAAATGAGACAGTTAAAGTGGAAAATTCCGGCAAGCTGTAAATTAGAAAGGCTCCATGTCATTTCATTGAAGAAAAGTACTACACCTCTCGAAAGCACCGGTTAATTGCTCCGGCAAATGTACCCCGCGATGGCGCGACTGGTGTTGTACAGCTATTAAACAGTAGTAGTTTTAAATTTTCTAGTTTACGCTTAGGCGTTCATATACTGCGTGCTCTCCTCGAGATTTTTTTGGAGAGGAACTATCCCACGAGTGCATCATTTTGATCCGGTAGAACTGTGCAAGCCCAAGGCCATTGGTATAGAATATAATTATCCACTCGTATATGTAATATGTAATACGAGTCGTATTACAGATGCTAGCGGGACCGCGGTCAGGACTTGACGGTCGGGAACATGAATGCATTTAACTGATTGTCTTCTTAGTGCTTACTGACTGCATAATACATGGTGGAAGATGTGGTGCAAGGGAGTAGAACTAGACAGCAATAACTCTTAAAGTCATAAATACGAAACGGGAGTATCTGCTCGAAGTGGTGGTGTTCTTGGAAAATCGCTTGGCGGATGTGATCGCCAAATAAAGAGTCTCTTGAATAGTGTTTATTTTTGCATTGATAGTTCTGTACGGTTTGTTGATGTTTTTGTTTTGCGATTTTTTAACAGGTCGTGGAGGTCCAATTGTTCAGTTACTTACTTTTGCCGATTGTGATGTGGTTCCGGTCAGGGTTGATGGAACTGTTGCTGTTGGTTTGCTAACGTCTTTATGATCTCTTATTGAAAATAAATGTAAGGAACTGGGTTAGAGTGGAAAATAGGACCGGTTAAGCGGAAAATCCCGGTAAATTGTAGCTCAATATGGCTTCGGATTTTTCTGTCGAAAGAAAATACGGAATGTATGACTTGATTATTTAAAAGGAAGAAATGTTCTTTTAATATGCAGCAGTAGCGTAACAGTTGTGGACTCATGAGTCATGACACTGCAGTGATCGACTGATCGTCCTCTTTCTTCCCGTACAATGTACCGCTCACTCATCGTCAATAAATGCTGTACGCGGGATCGTATTTTATTTCCATGCATACTGACTGAACATACAGTTCATGAAGTACGGAAGTGGCAATAAGGTGTAAACTGTAAAAGCTAGAGTAGTGTAAGTAATTGGTTGGCCGTTGTAACTGTAATAAAGTGATAAAGCAAGTCAGCGTAACGACTAGCGAAATACAGGTACCGGTGCTATACGGTAATTCGGAATGCGTGCGGAACTTTGTGTAATGAAATTGCAGTCAGTTTTGATTGTTTACCGCACCGTAAAATGTTTATTTCCTTACGGTCAAGGCAACAAAATGTTTACGCTAATATTACCGTGCCGGTGACGTACATGAATCTTATATAGAGGATAATTATTATAATGCAAAGACGGCATAACATGTCGCAAACTCAGAATAGCAATGTGACCTTTCATTATACAGCCACAGGAGCACACGTGCCTTGACATAGTAATGAATTTACGAGCAATTCTTTGTCAGATTTGCACATTTAGTATTCTATAACATACAGTATTCTACTCGTTTTTATACGAGTAGTTTCTGTGTGTAATGTTGTACACCGACATTCTAGTGTTCGCTGAAGCGTGCACAGCATTGTTATGCGCAGCGCACCGAGCGCGTATAATACAGTATGACACGAAATAATATATCGCCTCCTATCTTTTTTCCAGACATGATCCTCATTCGTGTATTACCAAAACCAATTTCATATCCAGTGTTTTTCTTCTACCTGTTCATTTTGGAATTTGCAATGATTAAGGAAACACTAGGATTTTTTCGCCCCTTCTCCGCAGAACGTCCCACATCGGCCAACGGTAATCCATGCCATACGATTGGAGCACTGGCGGATATAGGATGTCCCTGTCATTTGATTGGTCAACGCTGTGTACGTCCTTTCTCAGTGTGCACCGCTGTAAACGGTGCGATTATCAGGAACACAGCGAACGGGATCGGGACCTGTCAATGTGATAAAAATCATTATCACGACACGTCGGTTGGATTATGCCGTATTGTACCAAAACGCTTGACGTCAACAACAACGACGACGACAACGGCAGCGCCACCTTTAATTGTGACCTGTCCCACCGGACTGGCCGGAACAACCACCGCGACAGCCGACCGAACTGCTGCTAGTGAATATCTTGGTAGACAGAATGTGTTTTTATATTAATCTTTATGAGGTACCATCAGGATGATAATGGGCATTTATACAGATGCGTGTGCAAAACTCCCCAGGGGACTCCGTGAAATGGCCGGCTGCCCACTTCAGCTGCGTGACTCTTCTGAAGCAGGTATTACAAATGGCTCCTGTACCAAATAAACACGACTTCCGATAACTGCTCTTATTTTCTTTTTCTTCTTGTTGATACACTAATACCCTTGCAGTCATTGGCTACACCGCGATACCGAATAAGTTTATAAACGGTGACCTTCGTCAGTCCGCTCAGTTAGTCGAGGGCGATATGCGCGTCCCGTCAGTTACCTATCAAGCAACCCCGGGGGGCACGGGTACCCAGAGAAGAAAGCGTCAGGTAGACGAAAGCACAACTACACCGCCTGTTGAGGATACGACTACAACCCCCGAAGGTTCGTCAAGCCCTGAAAGTACGGACCCATCCGAAAGCACCGCTTCCTCATCCGATGCCACGCCCGAAAGCTCTACGTTTATCGAAAGTACCATCCCACCAGAAACTACGCCGCTCGAAAGCACAATCTCTTCCGACAGCACTGTTACGACATCTGAAGGCACAACCACACCCGAAAGCTCAACAATTTTCGAAAGTACCATCCCACCCGAAACTACACCTCTCGAAAGCACTATTTCTTCCTCTGGAGGCACAACCATACCCGAAAGTACAACAATCCCCGATAGTACCATCCTCCCAGAAACTACACCTCTTGAAAGCACTATCTCATCCGACACACCCATTTCCTCATCTGAAGGCACGACCATACCTGAAAGTACTACAATTTCTGAAAGCACCATCGCACCCGAAACTACACCTCTCGAAAGCACTATTTCCTCATCCGGAGGCACAACCATTTCCGAAAGTACCCTTCCACCCGAAACTACGTCTCTCGAAAGCACCATCTCATCTGGAGGTACAACCTTGTCCGAGAGTACTACAAATCCCGAAAGTACGATCGTACCCGAAACTACCACAACCTCTCAAAGCTCCACCACATTCCAAGGTACTACGACACGCCCGATTCCCATTACATCTGAAAATACCACCCCAGGAACCACCGGTCTTCCCATAACGACACTGATGACGACGAGCAGGCCGTCCACCAGTTTTACCGTGCCGTCAGTTGTTCCGGTACCTGTACCCCGCGGAGACGCTACCGGTGTTGTACAGGTATTATACAATATCTTTGAATTTTTAAACTTTAAATTGGTTCAGACAAAACAGTCCTGCTAGATCGGCAAAGCAGGGTTATTAAAACCGATTTATTAAAAATCCAGATCTGGGCACTACCGGTTAACGTTTAATTTTCAAAAGTGTCCGGCGGGCATTTTTAATCATTAAGCACGTGCTGACCGCAAAGACAGTTCCGACTTGAGTGACGTCAATGTTGCAGGTGTGTAGTCGCTCCGGTTTATGGGCAGGAGGAATGCCCTACGTTATTGACAAAGCATTTTGTAAGTTACCTTAAATTTCAAAATACTTATTGGAGCACTTCGGTGATAGTGAGGTATAGATTTCAAAGTGTGTTTCTGTCGTTGTTGGTGTAGCCGAAGAAAACGTCAGGTATATTACTAATAAACTGTGTTCCATCACGAAGCAGACCTGTGTTACATTCTATCCACGAACCAATGAAGCAGATTACGTGAGAATAATCAACGGAACCGGGTACGAATTCAACACCTATGTTTTAAAATTTTTCTCTGTGAGAGCTAGGCATACTGACGTAGATGCTGGTCATTTGTCGGCCGACAAGGCGGTCTGCAGTTACTCTCGCTACAAATTGCCGGTGATAACGGAGCCACTTGCCTGACCGGAACTGTAGTTGGTGTGTATAATTATTCCCGTTCCGTATTCGTACGTCTAATTTACTAAAAGAATTCTTATGTGATGAACTTCCGCTTTTAATGTTTTCTTCTAGAGCACGAGATTCTGCACGCTCTTGGATTTCTACACGAACAATCGCGACTCGATCGGGATACGTATGTAAATGTTAACCTTGACGGAGTCGATCCAGCCTGTACGATGAATTACATGTTTACCTGGTCTTGAAATGAAATTAAGTATGGGCTTTGTGTGAGCGCAGTTCACGACAACTTTCTCAAGTACAATCGAAAGTTCGTCCCAGATGTTCCCTACGACACTGCATCCGTAATGCACTACAGTAGTGATGCCTTTGCACTCAATCCCGATGTCCCGGTGATGACAACCAATAAAGATGGAAGTCGTATTGCACCGGCCACGTCAATGAGTGAACTGGATTATGAAAAGATTAACAGTTTATACTCGTGCATCGATGCCAGTATCGGCAAAGACTATGGCTCTTCTCCATGCAGTATGTCTGCGTACTAGCGGCTCATTTCTAAAATTTGTACATGTTATGATTCCAAAAGGAATTTGTCGACATAATTAATTGTTTTTGTGGCAAATGGTCTACAAATCCAATACAACTTATAGGGAATGGTCGAATCAATGCTTTCAGATAACGTCATCAACCGAGGCAGTAATACGGACACTCCCAACCCATCAACGGCTGACACATGTGCGACAATCGTTTTCATCACGATTATGAATTTTCCTCTGGACAGATTTTTATATGTAGTTAATAACTTAATGTTATTATGCTACTTTTTAGGCGCTCTTTTTGGACCCGGAGGGGGAGGTCACGGGGGCCACGGTTAAGCGCTCGCTGAACCTACGTATTGGTATCTTTTTGTTTGTGTTCTCCCTTTGCGAATGGTGAAACCTCGGAAAGATGGTTATCGTATATTGTGTGTACGTATTTTCCACTACAAAGCCCTCTTGGGATGATAACTGGGATCTGCAATCCAGAATTCAGGGTATTTAAATGCCTGTTTTATTCAGTAAGGTCAGTTCTGACCTTACAGCAGGAGCAGCTAGCGCTGGCTGGCTTAAAATAGTCCACATCCAGACTGTCCCAAAATTTAATTTACATGGTAAAATTAACAAGAATACGACTTATGAGAGTAATATCAATCTGGTTTAGAATGAAATAACAGAATCAAAATCGATGCTCCACCAGTAGCGGCTGCATTCAATTCCATGTGTACTGATTTCCTTTTCCTCTCAACTGTCAAACCCAGTTCAGAATTAAGATCTATTTTACAAACTTGGATTTAAAGCCAAGTGCATGAAAGCAGCATCAGTCTGAGAAGCAACAAAATGGCAACCGAAGCAGTGCCTTTAATCACTAATCGCTGTCGCAGTACTGATGCCCTTGTGTCCATCAGTTTCTTGCCAAACGCATCACTATTCACTGGTCAGTACAGTCACTCCATAGGCGACTTTTGAGCTTTCCTTGGGTTGCTGGTGCTGAGCTTAACCACCAGCGCATCGCTGGCTCTTCTGGAATCCACTTGAAATACCACACTGTATGTTTCGCTGCCTTTTCGTTGACCCGATGCACATCCATCAGCCACTCTCCCTCTACGGCACGGAAACCTGGCCAGGATCCGGCGAAATGTCGATCTAGCCTCCTTCCGGAATTTCATGCTGAAGGCAACGTACAGGTAAAAGTTGAAGGAGTACGGAATCAGCATGAGCAGCTCAGCGGGACGCCATACTGTCGCATACATGCGGTATTCGCGTACGCAGTAGGGATATCGCGCTAGCATTTCCAGGATTTCGTTGATCGTCTGCGGCAACATGCAGACTAGGTACGTGGAAACGGCGGATATTAGAATGGCTTTGCCGCTGGTCTGCTTGCGGTCGGTGCTGGTCGATGTTTTGCGCAGCGATGTGGTCCGGCGCCGCTGTACAATGGCGCGAATAATAATAATGTTGCAGGTTAAAAATATGACGAAGACGACAATGACTTCCACATCCTATGGCACAAATTTTAATGATTACATTCAAAACCGGGTCTCTACCTACGTGGTAAAGGTCACAGAGAAATCTTACTTTGTAGAGTGCGTTAGCGGTGTTCCATGTGTCGAGCCAGTACGGTAGGTTTCGTATTACAGGTCGACCGGTTTCGATGTCAAATGTCGGGATATCAAGGGTTGCCAACAGGTAGTACTGGGTTACAGCTGTATACAGGCTGGTAGCAGCGGCATACAAAAAAGCGCAGACGATGACAACACGTGATGTTCTGGCTGGGGATGCTCCTTGATGTGACAACGGGGCGATTACAGCACGCACGCGACCGATGGAGAACGCTATTAAAATCCTGCAACCAGCAAGCAAGCATGTTCAGGCTATTTTCTGCGCGAGTCACTAAACGTATTAGAACGCTGGTTAGCAAAGTACAGAGGAGTTTGCATTCGTTTCTACAATCACATTATCATAAGTTGCGCATGTAATATGGCAAATAATTTTTGTAATACAAGATAATTTTTATTGCAGCGATGTAAACATCTACAAAGTAGATCTGCTGCTTTGATTAGTGACATCAGATGTGTTACCAGTCAGCAAATTCCGGTGCCGCCACCTGCAACCAAACGTACGCGCCTTGTACATAATCGTTGACGTAATCAAATGTGTAAGTAGCATTGAAAATCTCCGGAGTGACGATCCCCATATACTGCGGTACCTGGGACCATCTGCAAACGTTTGATACTCCATAAAATATCTAAAACAAACTTCCTGCAGCTTGACAACATTGGCACGATGCTTTGGACTTGCACGCAAACCACCATAAACCAGCAAAGCACGGAAGTTGACAGACTATGATAGACACGTATTGGATATAAAGTATAACCTTGAAATCTGACAACTTACAATGTTAACAAATCGCCCACCGCCAGCGCTAATAGTAGTATTGTGGTATTTTGAGCATCCTTGACCATGCCGAGGATCGTTAAATTTAACACATTCCCGACCGTGCAAATGGTTAGTAAGATTGGATAACAAACGATGTAAACGTATTCCCACTGGGATCCCGATGAAGCTCCCTCTTCTTCATTTGTCCATGGGCATTCACCGCTTGAATTAGTCGTCACATTGGTCGCCATGCTCAATTTAAAACATGCCTTGCACGATTAAATTAACTGCTTGGCGGCAAAGTTATACATAAATGACATAAATGAGCAGACGCTATTCGCTTTTTTGCCTAGCAGCTACAGTGCGACAGATATTGCTCAAATTAACGTTAGGGTTTTATTGCATTTATGCGCCTTACAAAATACTCATAAATCATTTTTGACCTTTTTTTACAAATTTAAACGCATTACCGTGCGAACCAGTTTACGGCAGACAAGATTTATGACATCTTTGTATGAAGCCGCTTAGTCATTTATTACTCTAAATAATTTTAACAATACGCACTTATTTCGCTTATTAGTGACTTTGGTACCTCGTATTAGTGATTCAATCTCAGGCATGATTTCCTCTAACTAATGCTTAACATGCACCGGCGGACATTTGCGTTTTTTTTGCTCATGTTGCAGCCGATGTCAAAATTTTAATGATACGTAATAAAAATTTTTGGCAATTTTGCCACTCCAGATAATTGGATTTATGAACCTGCTTGACGTTTGTTTCAAACTTCTACGATTTTTTTACGGCGTGCTGTTTATACATCGTAACGCGTCAGCAAGTACCGACGAAAGTAGTATCATGGGACCTTTAATAAAGCATGTGAGTAACAATAACAGTTTGTCTATAAAATTAACATATGTATTGCAGTTGGACCCAAAGTAATCTTCTGGGTATTCTTCCGAGAGAACAGCCGTTCGCTGCATTTTTATTCGGTGACCTTTGAATTTATAGGCTACATGTCTTCTGGTCAACAGTAATTCTAGTACACGGTAACATTAGGTTAAAAGCAAAACAAACGGATATGGATTTTACTTGGTTAATTAAATAATCTGACGGATTTTATGTCAGTATAATATGCAGAAAATAGCACACCGCATGTAAAAAATCAAGCAGTCGTTTTTTCCCTAACCCGTTTCTAACTGATGCGTTCGGCTTTCACGCTAAGCCTTACTATGCAACTTTCCTAAGAATCGGCGCAATACAATCTGGGAATCTCTGCGAAACTTACTACTAAACGCGAAGTACATGTAAAAGTTGAGCGAATACGGTATCAACATCAGTAGCTGAACCGGCCGCCATAGGGTGGCATACATATGGTATTCCAGCAGGCAGTAGGGATAGTGGCCCAGCATATCTAATACTTCGTTGAACGCTTGCGGCAGCATGCACACCACATATGTGGACGCCGCGCAAATAAGGAGAACGTGACCTTTCGTTGGGTTGCGATCGGCCGCCGTTGCTGTTTTGCGCAGCTGGGGATTTTGTCGATGTTGAATAATAGTGCGAATGATGATGATATTGCATGTTAAAAGGATCGCAAAAACGACGACCGCCTCCACATCCTAAGATATTTCAAAGGTCACCGCTGGTCTAACAAATTTTTGGATGTCACTTACTTGGTAAAGCGCGGCAACATCGTTCCAGGTTTCTAACCAATGCGGCATATTTCTCATCACGGGTCGACTGGTTTCCCTTTCGAACATAGGAATGTGCAAGGTAGCCAGTAGGTAATACTGTGTCACTCCTGCGTACACGCTTGCTGAGGCAGCATACAGAAGGGTACAGAGCACGATTATTCTGGTTGTTTTCGCTGAAGAGGGATTGGACAATGGATCAATTACGGCACGCACGCGACTAATGGAGAACGCAACTAGGGTCCTACAGAACAAAAGTTTAACTAAGCACATCATAATTCCTGCGACAGTATACAAATACGGCATAACTTGAAAATGCACGTCTAACGACATGAATGAAGACTTCTTTTTTGCTTTCAAACGAGGAATGGTTGGATTTGCGCTTTCTAGCAGTGAGCTTTATCTTTCGCTGCTGAGCAGTATTATACACGTACTGCCCGTGCTTAGTTATTATCTTTTTTTGAATTAATCTAAACTTTACACGGTGGGAAAACGTTGAAAATTGTCAAATAAGCTTTATTAACCTGTACCATGTGAAATAGCTTTTTTGTCATAGATTTGCAAAACGTGAATGATAGGCTTTTACTTATTACTGACACTTCTAATTATTGTGCCGAACCCAGGTTCGTCAGATTACCTACTCGAGCTACTGTACTTTCAAACATCATACAAGCCCGTTTTCAAACCTGTAGACCGCTGTAAGCGCGACGCAGTGAATAAGCGCACAGTTAAAGGCTAGATTTTATCTACTCTACACTGGATGCATTGGCGTAGAGCACTCAGTCTATCTCATACTTGTCTCTCTCACACACCCCTCACACCGCAGTGGCGTTAATGATCAATACGCCGTGACGTGCCGAAGCACTTTGAATGGCTCAAGCCCACGTTTTTCAAATGTCCCGGTTACAGCGGTCTACAGGTTTGAAAACGGGCTTGTACTACGTATTACAAATATAATGCTTACCAATCAGCAAAGTCCGGAGATGCTATCTGCAGCCAGACGTATAGACCCTGCACATAATCGTTCAGGTAGTCGAATGAGTATGATCCACTGAAAATCCTAGGAGCTACTACCTTCATATACTGCGGAATTTGCGACCATCTAAAACATATCATAATTACGTATGTCATCCCTTTAGCGAATTTAACAAACAGTCACATGTTATAGTTTCGTTATTACTGCTTGTTATAATATCTATATTATACGGTCTGTACAGTACGTTACCTACTGTGCTTTTGGTGCATTATAATATTATTATAAATCTGACAATCAAAGACTATTGGCTCTAGAGTAATTGTAGGTATCGAACTTTTCCGGTGTACCTACAATGTCAGCAAATCTCCAACGGCCAGCGCCAGCAAAAGCAGGGTGGTACAATGAGGATCCTTTACCATTCGAAGAATTGCAATATTTAACGAATTTCCAAGAGTGCAGAGTGTCAGCAGGATTGGATAGCCAATCAGGTAAACGTACTCGGTTTTCCATTGGGGTGCATCTTCGTCGTTTTTGGTCCATGGACAGCTGGTGGTTGTATTAAGCGTAGAATTCTCCGGCATCTTAAATCGCTCAAAGTGAAAACTTCATTGTGGATGCGCACTTCAGCAATGTGTGCTTGTCCTTTGGTCTCGTGTGTTTGTCCTGAATTTAATAAACCCGTTCAGCTCTTCCGCCTGAAAGTTTCAAATGTCGTAAGTTCTCTGCATATTGACCAGGTAAAAACCTGAATCAGTTGCATTCGAATAAAAACTGATACAGATAGTCACAAACTACTGCAGTACAGGTAAGTACTTTTCTCGCCAAAACTGTCTTCGGACTGCAGGTTACACATGAAGTATACTGTACTCGTGCACCGAAACAGTTTCGGTGCCCAAGTAACATGCTGCACTACGGTGAAAGTATATCTGTAATTCTGTATCACAAATTGAAAGGCATATCATAATATAGATACAAAGGCATATAATTGCTTTCTTTACTGCTGTTGATGAATATTCTAGGCGTACGGCATGCCTGCAGAACGCAGATATCTGTCATACGGGACGCTTGTAACAGGATCCAAGCAATTCAGCTGGCGTGCACAGCAATAATCGTCCAAATTCGGTAAATATTGTAAGACATTTACCGAGGCAGTTGAATACGACTGATACGAGTATGTATTTTATGTGTACATGCGGTGTTATTTTACATCTGCCGGTTATATGGCATTTTGTCACTGGCTAGTGGCTACCTGCTGCCAAGGTGTCGATGAACTTACCACGGGATCAGATTACAGGAAGAGAGATATTGTCGATGGTCCGACCGGGAACTGCATACGATACGTTTCCGAAAAGCGTTATCAATGTCCAAAGCCTGTTGATTTTCTAGATTAGCTGACTGAGCTTTAACATTTTTTACTTGAAACAGTACAAGAAACGATTCCACAGAGCACGTAGTTTATACGCCATTAATCAAAATGACTACAGTAGAATGTATGCAAAGTTGACGTTGCATACCGTGCTGCTTTCATAACTCTAGCCAAATTGCATTTAGCGGAAAAGTTTGCTTAATGTTGTGCCGTTCCGGTTCCTTCGCGATACATACGTACTTAACGACGGTCAGCTAATGGGTATGTAATTGAGTAAAGAATAGACTATACAGGTATCTGCCAGCCTATCAGTTGAGTATGAAAGCCGGCGAGGTTCCACACTGCCACTTAGTTAAGGGGATTGGATGTTGTATCCGCTTGCTGTTCACTTGTCCATCCCTTCAAATTTACTTCCCACCGACGCAAAACCATACCAGTTCCCGTTTCCAAGAGCTTTTCCAGATGATCATACGGGTCTAGATGAGCTTAATCTAGGCACCGCTCAATAGCTTCCTTTTAAATTCGCCTACAATTATTACTCCACGGTCTCCACCCACGCAAGCCACTTTCAGCACCATTATACTAACCATCGGATGAGTCACACATAGGTTCTGCTTGTGTAGTTGTTTGTACAGATACGAGTACTAGTAGGATTCAACGGTTAAGAGTGAGTCTTGTAATTCACGTTCAAGATGATAACAGTAGAAATCGTAGATGCCAGCGTCCTGAAATGATGTGCTATAGCAGGTACGATGGCGATATTGGACGCAATGGTATATCGAAGTGTCCGTAAATTGCGTTACTGCGATAACGCATACGTGTGTCCGTAAATTCAATGGTAAAAATTTTACCAGTTTACTACGATAGCATATGCCATGGCAATGCGAAATAACCGATGTCCACAAATACCACCATTGCACACATCATGGTACATACTATTTCTCCGTTGCCTCAAAGCAACGTAGATGATGGTAGAAACTTTCTTTTCGTGTTTCAAAAGAGGGTTCCACACAAATTCAGATCGCTTGAAATTTCAGTCAGCTCATCAGATTTGAATTAATAAAAACGTGATTCAAGCATGGATTACAATGTAAAACTATTTTTATCTGAAATGGATTCCGACGATGACGACGATGAAGCAATTTTGTCAGTTTTTCTGCCAATGGAAATTCCCTCAGCCTCAGAAGATTCTCTGAGATTACTTTTTTAATGGCTCGCGACGATCAACATGACCGCGTACATTTCCGGGGAGCATTTGATCAGTTTCTGCGGTAAGAAATAAATAATCAACGCGTACACCTCGATGCAGTACGTACAATTTTCGACGTTTGCTTGTATACCACCTTACAATGAGTAGAAGATTGTAATTAATGTGCAGTACAAAAAAAACCGTCAATTACTTTTTTTGCAGAAAGCCACCTAATTTTTTCAAAGAATATTTTCGCATTGATCAAGACCAATTTGTGGGACTTGTGAAAACTTTGGCAATGGACCTCGAACGAAACGGTAATATCGGTGATCCAGAAAGCATTATCAAGATGACTAGGAAGGGCAAAACTCTGATGATGTTTGTGACAGTTAGCGGAAATCCGGATAAGAGTGAGCTGGAAAGAATCACGGGACTGTGGCATACCACGGTCGTCAGGGATACCCACCCAGTTTTTCTTTTATTATTTAAGCGTTCATTGAACTTACGTTGTACGTTGTTTTCAGATAATCCCATTTTTCTTTCAGCTTTTGCCATGTCACCCGAACTGATGGAGAGGTTTCATGAAATTCTTTAAGAACCATTTTCCACGCAATTTCATGCTTTTGCTTCGGCTTGGAAAATTCTTTGTCGTACTTTTCTCGCAAAGTGATTAACAGTCTATAAATATTTAAAATTGAGATAATAAGCGCACATAAGAACTTAATTTTGTTTATGACAGTTATATTTATAGAGAGCAGCTGAATATTTCGAATAAATATATACTCGTACATTCAATATTATTGCACTTACTTTGTGGCATCAGGACCAAAAGCAGTTCGGCATCAGGACCAAAAGCAGTTTCACCTTCAGCGTCTCCCGATTCCGACATTTTGGTACAGGTCACGAAGGGTCAGGGTAGTTTTGGCAAAAAATTTTGAGTTTACACGGGTGCATGGGATATGTGTCAAAATATTTTAGAAAACCTGTTTTTGTTCTGAGAGTGAAAATTCTGAAACTGGCGGGCTTGTCAAATTGTACATGCTTGCCACTGCTTTGGTTGATTTCAGGACAGTGGCATATGTCCGGTTGGTGTTGCTATTGCTTAGAGCCCCCAAACAGTAACAAATTTGTGTACGGCTACGTACGGTTTCCGCTTACGGCTCCTACGGCTACGGTACGGTTACGGCAGAAATAACTGGATTGACCGTACGGTATGCCGTATACGGCAGTACCGTATACGGCAAGCCCATTGTAAAACCGTGTTTTTGGCTTACGGTTACGTACGGCACTTTCGTTACAGTACCAATTTTCACTACGGTTACGTACTGTTGTGCCGTACAGTATGCCGTATACGGCAGTACAGTATACTGTTTGGGGGCTCTACTATTGCTGTAGTGCAGTAGGTGCAATAGCATAGCGTGTGCTATAACTGCCTTGCTGCCGGTACTGGCAGTTGGGCGTCCGTAAATTCATGTACGATTGCGATGGTACTCATCCGAATTATGCGATCGCGGTCGTAAATTACAAGACTCACTCTAATTCGTCAGTACATGTTTGAAGTCGGTAAAACAAGGAAATACAGTTTCCTGTCTGGACGATATGAGTATGTTCCAGTCGGATTTGAAACATTCGAGAGTTTTGGGACATCGGCCAAGTTGCTCATCAAAGAAATCGGAAAGGGGATTTTGTTACAAATCGGCGAGATTCTTAGCCTTGAGTTTTTAAAGCAGAACACATCTCTAGCAATTCAACGAGGTATTGCTCTACCTTTTATTGGTACAGTCAAAAATTCTGTTTTGTTTAAACGTAATTAGGCCTAGATATTGTTATCGTACTTTGGAAGTACTATCAAAATTAAAACTACTTCTGATTTACTCATCAAGAAGAATAAATATTGTACTCATGGTAATATGTGCGCAACTATGATTAGGGGCGTACTATCAGTTTTGGTTACTAATGTTTGAATACAGTACCAAGTAAAAGCTTCATAAAGCTATTAAGAACGCAGAGGCCGCATTTAGAATGGGAAGCCAGTTTTCAGGAATCGTATTAATTAAATACTGTACTACTTCCTACATGAGTAAAATTAAATGCGTACGGGCAATTATGAATAGTTATTATTATTCACCGATGGAAATTCCATCTTTTGTCACAAGACGCGCAAACAACAAAACTTTTTTTCAAAACGCAAACCAAAAAATATTTTGAACGACGAATTTTCGGAACTAGGGGGTTTTACTGGTCAGTTATGGCTCTGCTCTTGCGAATAAACAGTTTAAGGAAATCCTCTGCCGAAAAATCTTTGCGCAGTAGGCTCTGCAGACTGCAGCTTTCATAAATTCCCTAATTTGAGGCCATTGTGTCGGTTATCCATTTTTTCAATTTGAAAACATCCGAGTACGCTCCTGGCACACCGGCCTCGCCACAGCCGTAACCAAACGATGAAATTCCAAACAGCGAGTATCTGTTGTAACTGGGTGGCTCGGCCATCACGAGGGGCCCTCCAGAATCTCCTACAATCAAGTGATAACTTGTCATTCGAAAGTTGTTTTCAGTCTGGCAGCGGTGACAAGCTAAATGCTTCAGTTTTGAATAAATGGAACCAGGATTGCGGTTTTGATGGAGATAAGATAGATGGATAATCGATTCAAAAATTAAATATCCTGGGAATCGTAATAATAATAACCGTGTAAAATGTACTATGTGTTTATTAGGTGCGAAAAAACAATTGCAAGCCGACAACAACCGATGTATTGTAAGTGCCATAAAGATGAATGTACCTTTACAAGCGTCCCGCCCACCTTGATCCAAGCCTCCACAGATCTAGCATTGTACGCGGAACTGAATATAATCTGACCTTTTCTCGAAACGAGTGGCAAATTAGCATTACCGCAGTGTCAGGGAATCGCCCAGTCGGCAGGTCCAAAGCCTCGTGGCATTCGTTGTTGCTAAATATTTCTATATTGGTCTGCAGGAGCTGGTCAGTGCCGCCTCCAATCGTTGCGTCACCTCTATCTGCAATTTTAGATAGCTTTATCGGCAAAGTCTCATACACTGAGAGCATTACTTAAATTATGTTGAATTTATATTTTACCGTGTCCGTGTTTTAGTAATCCCCACCCGGCCACATAAGCAATCGGTCGGCCCTTGGCACCATATGACTGCGCTTTGAAAGTCCCGATTGCATCACTTGGCAGACATATAGGCGATACCATGGAATTAGGGAAATCCGGTATGGGTGCTGTTAACTTAATCAGTGCAACATCATTGACATTACCCCCGGCTGCCTTAGTGTAATCTGGATGGACAATAGCGCGGACGATGCTGGCTTTCTAAATTTGAAAGGTTCTCTGCCATTATGTTGTTTTCTTGAAAGAGTAGTTTTTGCATACTTCTTCGTTATTTGATTTCGAAATTTAAATGCGTAATACGGACGACGGCCTTTAATTTTCCTGTTTTTTAGAGTACCATCACTTACCTGACTTGCAGGAACTTTCAACAAATTTTGGTTGCCGTAATAAACCTAGAACCGATTTTCACATTAGCGTTTTGACGACCCAGAAGTCGCTAGCAAACTTAAAGTTATCTGCTGACCGGAAGAATTAAGTAGGTTATTTTTGTACATCAACTTCACAGGGAATAAAGCACAAGCAGTTCCATTATTCGACATTGCATATGTACGGTGCCCACAGACAAAACAGTACATTACCTTCATGCCTTTCAGATACACATCTTCCGGGACACCTAATTTAACGCAATGCGCGGCGGTGACCACCCACTGACTGTTGAGCTGCGGTGAACAACAATAAAATCGGGTAATTTCAGTTTTTTTCACTGCTACGCCACTTTGATAAATGAGTAGCCTACGTACCACACTGGCGCCGCAGCCCTGCTGTTCATTCTGTCCATTCTGAAAAACCAGAGCAGCCGCCCACGGCCAGGCGCTGGGTGCGGGCGTCACGCCGCCGATAATGCGCTGAAACTTGGAGGCCGGTCGATCGTCTGAGTTAATCGGAATACCACAACCGGTGTTAACCGGCGCCACTGGGGGTTTGGGTTTGGCTGGGACGGGGATTGGTCGAGGGATCATGGGCTTAGTGGTGGTACTCTTCGTGGTCATACGTTTTGTGGTTGTCGTCTTCCGTACTGTTGTGGGGTTCGCCGAACTGCGAACACAGCTCCACTTAGTGGCGAATCCCAATCTGCGCGTGGCATCTGTATCCTTGTTGTACGGGTGAGCGCAGAAGTCAAACACCGCCACATTGGTACTGCTTAGAAAGCTTCGAGCTGCTGACTTGTTGGAAGTGGTTACCACTAAGAAACGACATTTCTTTACGTTCAGAAATGAATGCTTATGCTGGAAAAGCTTACACTGGTAGTTGCTGTTGCCTTCTGCAAGAGAGAAAAATGCATACTTCTATAATATAAAGTAATACAAAAACCGTACATGTACAATATGTATAATTCAATATGCTTGTAATATGTATACGCCTTACTAAGACGGTCTTAGCATATTAGTTTTAGTTAGATTTAAATAATTTATGGCGTGTTGGTACAAATCATTGTAGCCGTACGTTGTTGGAGATGTTCATAACTTTTGCGGTCGCACATGGACGTTCCAAGATTCAGAGCCAGTCCTCCGTCGAACATCACTCCAAAGTCATAATCACGCATGTTGAAATTGCTGGTGTTGGTCATGTCCAGGGAAAGCTTTGCTCGACAATAAGATGGCAGTACAACAGCGAATCGCTTCTTTGTTCCGGCGACGTACGGCCGTCGAGGGTGGCTAGAAAAGCCGGGATGCGAATAAAATGTACCGCTTTCTCGACCACTGTTAAAGATCTGCGTCGCAGGGTCCGAGTCGTACGATTTCGCGTTATTTGGCTGTGGCACTGAAATTTGTTGGTTATCATGAAATAATTTTCAATACAGGATAGAAATTAATTTCTGACAACTTACCAATTATTTGAGCAGCAAGGTTAGCACAACCGAGAATTTCACAAAGTGCAAAAACTGAGCTGATGGACATTCCCTTATATGTTACGGACGTTTTACTTCTTTATTCGTAAAATGTTAATAGAGAAAAATTAATGATATCTACTGTTGGATTGTTAATGCTAATAACACTGTTATTACCGGCTATCTTGCATGTTTTTATAGCAAATCCTCATCGAAGTAAGACGTCATGTTTCGGACTAAACCATTGGAAAAATGTACGATTTAGCACTATTATGGGAAGTTAAGTGCTGTATCCAGAAAATCGACGGTCTTTCAAGTATATACGAGTAAAATGTTCCGGTAGTGTAAAAGAACGTGAGTGCTTCAAGTGGCGGCTTTATTGCGCTACCACCACTACTTTAATTCCCTGAATGTGGAGAAAACTAAGGTGACTGTTGTATAGCATTCACAAGCGATTAATGTATTTCCCAAAAATCGCGTATACCAAAAGAATTTAAGTTGCGTTCTGTAGGTTTTGTAAGCTCTCGCCTTCGCGCACTTCCCACGTGATAATAAAGTACTAGTACTAGCAACATTGTGTACAAGCTTGAGATACCACGCAAGAAGCAACGCGGACAGCACTAATGCAACGGTTGCTGCACCAAACAATCAAACACAAAAAAGTACAGACTTAAATTACTAGAAAACTTGTACAGAGTTCTGAAAAAAATTTTGCAGTTCCATTCACATAAACAGCAGTGCTCGGCTTTTTGTATAAGCGAGTGTACAGTATATGCGAGTGCTCACAGATTCGTATATGTTTCTGATGGAGGTTTTTTAGTTCCACGACTTAAATTATAATAGCAATTGCATAGAAATGTTTTATGCTATGCGGTTGCACGTTGCTTCCAGGAACAGTATCGGGATTGCATTTTGCAGTTCCGCAGCGGAAGCGGTCTTCCGTTTGTTCACAGCGATGTACATACTGTTCTTACAACGTACTTCGCTATGTACAGCATTGTAGAGAACAGAAGCGACATGGATTACCTCTGCGGATTGTACTAACATAAATTACAGATATTGTAGTTGCTTGCAGTAATTACTGAGGAAAAAGACGATGGCTAGACACATAACGACAATTTAAAGCTAGTTATCGTCGGAAATTTCCCATTGTAATTGGTAAAATAATAGTTTTAAGGCTGTCGAGCGTACGGCTCCTTTTAATTTTTGTGAATTAATCAATGCTTTACGTTTAGTACAAAGTCTTGCAAAGCCATTAGAACATACGGTATTCACGGAGAGCACTACTTTTTTTTCCGTTCACAATCAGCTTATTTGTTGCTTTCGTAACCTGAAGGCTGATGAACTAACTGTAAAATGGCAGCGATGCACTTAATTTCCCGGCTCCCCTAAATAATTTCGGTTCTGCATTCTGATAATAAAGAACAATAGAACAATGTTGCTGTGCGCAGTGTTGGTCGCTTGTTCGCAGGCGTCAGTGGTTTCCGGTAGTTATTCCCAAAATTATTCTTCTTGCCCGTTTAACCAGACAGAATTACTGTATGAGGGACGCAACTTTTATGTTGTAGTTCTTGCTACGTACGAGTCCCGCGACAGCTCCAGAAGGCGAGCCGAAACCAGATACCGGCATTGACGAAACGGACAGTGTTATGTCGCGCATAGTCCCGTACCAGAATGTTTTTAATTAGGTAACCGTGATGTACTGTAACATTTAGAAAATAAATTTCCTTGCATGCCCAATCGCAGGCCGTGGTTGTTATTTTTCTAGCAAGCGGTTCGTTTTAAAAGCTGGCGCAACACTCTTTCGCATACAAAATTACTATCAAAATATACTTTTTTTTTGGATACCCGTGGTCTTAAACTGCGCTTTGAATATACTAGCAGACATGATGGTTATATGATAGAAACATCAAGTTTTTCCAAATTCCGTTTCACCGAGAAAGTAGACCTTCTAGATGGAGCCGAGAGGACGCCTGCACCATCTAAGAAGTAGATTCAAGGTTAACGATCACTCTTGATGTTCATTTCATGCCCCAGCGGACTGTCCATCGCCCATTAATATAACATCCGTAGCAGTTGGCTGGTAGCGCTGCCCAGAGTACAGTCATTGTTTAGTCATTATACCGTCATTTACACCTGTCGTCAGTACAGCCGTAAGTACCCTTTGATGTTCTGTCAACATTTCAGTACCGGATGCAGCGGTTCAAATCTGTAAAAAGAAGAAAGATGAAGATGAGTATGTAAGATCGTAAATGATGTAAGCAGAGTAACGGTGATGTCGAGGCAGATTACCGAATCAGAAAGCGAGACATCTCTCGTCCATATCAGTATTATACATACGCTAATTCAGACCGGAAAAAGACTGAAAATTAAGAGTGACTTTCTGTCCAACTGTACGTTTGTTTTCTGAAATCTTGGATATTGAATGAGTCGAATAATGCAGGGACACTTCATCTGGCTGCTCTCCTTTCGATCCTGCTTATGCAGCATCCTAGTCTTTGGATTTTATGCAGTACTTGTTCTGGATATTACCTTGTTTGTCACAACGTTCGCCTTTATGCGGCCGTTCGGACAGCGTGCCACCTCCGCCAGCGGACGTCCTTGTAATACTGTAGGTGCCTTAGCGGATATTGGATGTCCGTGCCGGTTGATTGGCACACGATGTCAGCGGCCGTTTTCTGTGTGCCGATTGGCAAATGATGGAATGGAGAGTGGTGGAGGGATATGTCAGTGTGATCGGCATCACTATTTCGACCCATCCAGTGGTTTGTGTCGGAGTGTTCAGAGCCAGCGGGTAACACCATCTCCTTCGACGCCAACCCCAACGAGACCAACTGCACCGACGTGTCCAACAGCGGCGCCAACACCGGCTCCAATTACTCCTGGCCCGCCAACGGTTTTAGATGAATACTATGGTAAAATGTAACCCATAAAATGTAACCCATACTAAAGTACATTAGTGAATGGACTGTAGCTCTTTCTAAGTAACTGCTTTCCTGTAATTAAAATCGTCCATTATTTAAAGCATCATCTATAAAAACAGCAAGACATAACAAAAATTACTATACATGACGTTTGTTAACTGACAGATGCCTGTGCCAGTGTACCGCGAGGTCTCCGAGACATGGTTGGCTGTCCTGTGCAGCTACGCGATGACAGTACTAATCCAGGTTATCCCCGTTGTACAAAGTTTAACCCTTTTAATTAATTATTGGTTGAAATACCCATTGCATTGCCAAATAGTTGGCTATGAAGCAATTCCGAACAAGTTCGTCAATGGAGACCTTCGCCAGTCTGCCCAGCTATTCGAGGGTGATATTCGGGTGGCCTCTATCACCTACGATATAATTGCGGCTGCTCCGTCTACAAGCGCGCCAGCTAGGAGAAAGCGGCAAGCTAGCAACAGCAGCGATACAAATGCTATTGTCGAAGTATGGTTACAGTTATCTGCAACGCAAAATATTTGTTTCTACTGCTAAATGTGGAGCTTCGAATCTTTGTAGGTATGCAGTCGGTCGAGTTTGTGGCCCGGCGGTGTTCCCTATGTCATAGATTCTGCCTTCTGTACGTATAGTTATGTTTACAAAATTTATGTACATAAAGATATTATGTACATATAATTTATATTCGGTTAACCGTAATTGTAGCGCGATACAGAATTATTTTACGAAAACATACCATTTTATGCTTTTAGATTGCAACGATGAAAACGATGCATCATTCTTTATTTGTAAATGAACAACGTTCAGAATGATAACGACGTTATTCAATTATAGCGGCGGATAATGCCTCTTACATCGTAAAGAAAATGTGCGCGATTTCTCAGAAGACATGCGTGACGTTTTATCCAAGGACAACAGAGACCGATTACGTGAAGATAGTCAACCAGCTTGGGTAAACTGCTGTTTGCAAACTATCGCAAGGAAAAACATGATGCTAAGAATTCTCGTACTTCCTAGTTGCTGGTCCTTTGTGGGAAGACAGGGCGGGCGGCAGTTATTATCGCTGCAAATAGCCGGTGCCAACAATCGAACATGTCTGACGGGGACAGTGGTTGGTAGGTAATGAGATAGCGGGTGAAATATTATTGAAAAATGTTGGGAATAAATGCCAGAAAGATTTCATGAGCTTTCTTAAATGTCTAGAGCATGAGCTCATGCACACTCTGGGATTTGTTCATGAGCAATCCCGTTTGGACCGCGATACATACATCGATATCGACCTTAACAACGTTGACCCTGCTTGTACGTAAACAAATGCTCGTTCATCTGATTAGTTTTGACCATGCATAACAAAGCATTGTATCCACAGTTCAAAACAATTTTCTCAAATATAACCGGAAGTTTGTGGTGGATGTGCCGTATGATACCACATCGATCATGCATTACAATAGCGAAGCATTTGCACTCAATCTCAGTTTACCGGTGATTACGCGAAAAAACAACGCCTCAGCAAGGATCAGCGCCGCGGAGATTGTTAGCGATCTGGATTATGAGAAGATCAGCAGTTTATACTCATGCCCGCAAAACACCAGCCTGGTTCTACAGCCTGTAATACCAGCCGAAACCGTCTACAGTGCTAGCCCCTACACCTCCACATCTTGTGGTAAGATGTGACAAACACTTCTTTGTTTTCAAGGTGCATCTTATCTACCAAATTTGTCTAGTCGACTTTAATGATCTCAGTTATGATGATCTCTGATCTGATGATGATCTTTAATGATCTCAGTTAATGATTGCAATATTTACATAAATTACAGTTTTTAACGAGTACGTTCAAATCAAAGAAACAGTGATAAAACTTTTGAGCTTTGCCCGACTCGTCGGACATTTCCTTCAGCATCGCTAAATCACTAACCTCTATAAGTGACCTTTGAATAGCACGAACTGGAATAATTTTGGCTTGTTATTTGGCTGTAACTCCTGCTCGTAGAAGCAATACGTCATTATGAGACTTAAAGTGCATTACTATAACAGTTATGGTAGCATTTGGGAAGTATTGATATGACTATAGCCGGAAATACCAAAATATGAAAACCGGTTAGTTTAGCTGCGTGACAACACGTATGTATATACGAAGGCACCGCTGAATATTACGTACCTTGCGTTTGTGTATCACAAAGACCACAGTGATGTGTTACGCACCGCTTATATCAGACCCCGTGGAAGGAAGCGGAATCAGTCCCCCTCGAGGAACCGACGATGCCACGCTTACGCCCGATCCGACTGGAGCAGACACATGTAAGTCGGGAAAAAAATTAGTATCAAATATAACAACGGCAGCTCCAAGGCCACAGGCTACACGAGACAAAGTCACATCCCGTCTTTTTTTTCTAGGCGTACTTTTTGGATCTGGTGGGGGAGGTGGACGCGGTTGAGACGTTTTTTATTCTCATAAAACTGGAGTGTTAACGTTGTTATATAAAATATGCCGATGCAATATGTGATTTAGGGAGCATATTGAGCGATCAAATATTCTGCATTTACAAATTATTATAGACATTCCATTTCTGGTTGTTGAAAATAAATCCCAAATTCACGAAAGACACTGGAACCAAATATTGTGAAATATTATGCCACGTATATTCGGCACAAAGATGTCGGATATCGGTGTTAGAATTGTCAGAAAATGCAAGTAAAATGCGTATAGTACCTAATTGTATACCTCTACACACGTAAAACCATTCTGACTACTTACCTTCAGCCTAGCATGTTTATTTCAACAAATTTGTTATCATATAAATATTACCCAGCAGCAATACGATAAACATGTAAAAGAAATATGTAAAAGAAAAAGTCGTGATTGACAGCTGATGAAAAACTAAACGCGTTCGTCAAAACGTTGCAAATAATGAGCTGTAGGTCTACAAGCTCGTTTCTCCTGTAGCCTGACTGGACTGTAATTCAGCAGACCGTTCGTCACTCAAAGTAACCTTTCCTCCTAACTCCGACTGCCGCCCCTGTTGTTTCGCACTGAATATGGTCACAAGGGCATCACTGGCTCTTCTCGAATCCAGCTGGAAAATCTCACTAAGCGCTTCGCTGCCTCTTCTTGGACCCGGCATATATCCATTTTCCATCCCACCTCGGCAGCACTGGCACTTCTCTACAATCCTCTTGAACGTTTCTTTCGCATCAGTGCGGAATTTCATACTGAAGGCGAAGTATAAGTAGAAGTTGAAGGAATAGGGAACCAGCATGAGCAGCTGGGCGGGGCGCCATAGGGTGTTATACATGCGGTAGTCGTACATGCAGTACGGATAACGGGCCAACATCCCCAGCATTTCGTTAATCGCTTCCGGCAGCATGCATATCAGGTAGGTGGAGACCGCGGAAACTAGGATCGCTTTGCCGCTCGTCTGCTTCCGGTCGGTATCGGTAACGGTCGCGCGCAACTGCAGGTTCCGGCGACGCTTGAAAATGGCCCAGATTATGATGGAGTTGCAGGAAAGTAGGATTAAAAATATCACCATGATCTCTACATCCTAAAGCAATAAAACTTATAAAGAGAATTTACAGTAAGGATGTAAATTAAATTTTAAAAACGATAAACGCTGCTGTTTGTACATGACGAAACAAATAAAACAGGTACTGTATGTATCGATCTTTACTTTGTAAAATGCGTTGACAGTATTCCATGTTTCTAGCCAGTGCGGCAAGTTTCGAATGAATGGTCGCCCGGATTCCTCGTCGAATGTCGGGATATCCAGCGTGGCCAATAAGTAATACTGCGTTACCCCTTTGTACAGATTTATTATGGCTGCGTAGATAAAGATGCAGACGACGATAATCCGGGCGGTTCTAGCCGGCGATGGACCGTGGTATGATAAAGGGTCAATAACGGCACGGACCCGGCCAACGGAAAATACAACCAAAATCCTGTAGGAAAGGTATGACAAGCTCGTTTATCGCAAAAATTCTACCATCGCAGTTCTGCTCGATGTTTTCTTCAAAACTACCTTTTTGCACAATAAATGCCAGTAAAATGGCGTAATACAGCAGTTAATAATATTACCAGTCAGCGAATGTTGGAAACGTCAGTTGCAGCCATATGTACAGACCCTGTACGTAATCATTGACATAATCGAAGATATAAGCGACATTAAAGATTTCCGGAGTAACCACAAACATGTACTGGGGAACTTGCATCCACCTAAATTATAAGATACTTATCGTTAATAAACGTAGTTTGTACAAAGCTGTTATCGGATTTTAGAATAAAATCGCCATAACAATCGTAAAGGGCTCACGTAACTCAGAGAATTACACACCAATGAACCCGTTACTGCCGATACGTTGCTAAATAAAGCGCCTTCGTTAATTATACGGGATACCATGGGAATAAATAAAGGTGCGTCTAAATCTATTAATTTTCCGTGTTTTTTCCTGGTTAGTAAAGACACTTACAGCGTTAATAAGTCCCCAACCGCTAAGGCCAGCAAGAAAACAGTGATGCTCTGAGGATCCTTGGCCAAGCCCAAGATCAGGATATTAAGCGAATTCCCAAATGTGCAGGTTATTAACAGAATCGGATAGCACACGATGAAAACATACTCCCACTGGGATGCATAAACTTCCTCTTCCGGCCATGGACATGAATAACTCGCATTAGTCGTTATGTTGTTCTCCATTCAAGATAATTTTTACAAGATGCATTACATAACAGCATCATAAATTACAAACAGTATTTTAGTTAACAATTAACGAGTTACGTCATAATATTATGAAAATAGAATGTTCGGTAAAATGCGCTTGTATGAAATCTTTTGATGTGCATTGCGATCCAGTATTTGCCGTTTTTGGGTGTTTATGATTGTGATCGTGAGTGGTGTTTTCTTGTATGTACGGTGAATGGTGGAATATTTTCGTGTGAAGCGCTCGATATAAATCATCTTTCCAACAATACACTTTAAACGGAATTGGCGATTTATGGCTGTTTAATACTGCGATATAAAACACAATCTGCGCTTGCTCATTTTAGTGGTGTGACGGTGTCATTACTGCTTTTACACAATTTATTAACAAGTGCTTACAGTTCAAGTCCGCAAGATGTACACTTACAGATTTACGAATAAAGAAAGCAAATTCCTTGCAACGTGCAAGTACACGCATTACAAACTGAAACTGTCATCAGTCATACTTTTATTAACCGTGCACTTTCAGTTTCCTAAACACTGTTAATTTTCATCCCGTTTATTGTATTGCAGATGTACGGGTGTTGGGCACTTGAGCTGTACTTGCAAAAAAATCATCAACTAACATGGTATAACTAACATCATGGATGAAATATCTGCTTTACGTGAAGCTTAAATAATTAAACTTATTAAATTTTTTTAATTGGATGCTAATGCTGTAATTACACTGCATTTTGCAACCAGCCACACCTTGCGCATGCCGGAAATGACTGTTTGAAGCGCGCGGTAAACAAAATCGTCAAATCTTGTATAATCAGCAAAATAATAACAATATAGGTATTATATAAACTGCATTCAGTCAATGAACCTTGCCTGTTTGCTCTTTGTGAAAGCAGAATGTACAGTACGCACACTTCTCTGCAAAGTACGTACTCATACATAGTCTTAATACTATCTCGTTGTTATTCCATGCCGGCTGTTGTACGGTTCCAGTGGTGAGTTTTAAAATGTGTAACACAAAAGGAACGCATGATAATTATAACGGGAAATTCCCGCTTTCCTAGCATATCAGCACATAGCTGATAATACATTGACACGGCGAGCATGTTAACGGTACGCGGACAAAAACTTTGGAATGCGACGACCAGCTCATAGTGTAAAATGTAAATTCCATAAGCCTATCGCCGTTTGTTAAGTTGTGTTGTTGCTGGATTTCTGGAGGTTTAGAGTACTTGTATGATAAGATAGAATAGCGCTATAATAATAAGGTACTCTGTACAATATCTTCTACATACCCACATTAGTAAACCGGTAATTCCATCTACAAAATCGGTCTTATCAAAACGACTTGTCTCCACTTGTTTATAATTATTTTGACTTCGCTTCTTTATATTGGTGGATATATGCTGTTGGTCTGTTGCAATTTGAGTCTGCATTATTGTCGTCGACACGTTTTTCGAAATACGTAATCAACGATGGCGAAGTATATTCTGCTGCTGGGTTTATTGGCTGGTATTCATACAGGTTGGTCTTGTTATTTGTTTATTTTATTTTTAATGGATCCGGTCACTAATAATTTACTCTCAGTACATATATATATGAGCGTAAATTGCTTGGGCTAAAAGTACAGTGGCGCATTTTTTTGAATAAGCTTTACAGTCATCAGCTTTAATTTTTGAAAGTATGTAGTTGAACAAACATACACGACAGTTTTTAATACAGTATTATAATTATTGTAGAGAACCTCATCCATAAATACAGCTTTTACATTGTGACTAATTATTTTTCATTAAAAAAAGTACTATGTGAATTTAACCATTTATCATGAACTCGGTCTTCCACAGCCTCCGCCCTGAACTGCTTTGTATGCGTGGATCCGAATGATCCAAACTGCCTAACGGTAACACAGACCCAGTGCGATTCTTCCAGACAAGATACATGCCTTAAATATTACGGAAATTTCAAAGATCGAAACGGAAACTTATATACAGGTAACCGGTGACCGTTCCATGTCAAAGGAATTACAACGTTTTAAGTAAATCTGTTTACTGTAGTTTCCATTTCCATCGCAATTTTACTCGTAGTAAATTAAAAAGCAGACAAGGTTACAAACAGAAAACCCTGGGAATGTTTATTAGATAAATGCTTTAACATTTTTCCAGTAGTAAATTTTTGTAAATGATAATACGACAGTAACATCATGTCATTCCCGATCTACTTAGTCTTTGTGTTTGGTGGCAACTGCATGCAGGTATCTGTGGCTTAAAACCATTTAATACTGGTAGATATTTTAGTTTGTTATTCCCGTCGCGAATATTGAATTAGTGCTTCATAACTGTAATACAAAATATACAGATAATTATTTAGTTGTGCATTCCTCGTATAGATCGTACCATCCGGACTTGCGCAAGTTACGCTGATTTGCGCCGAATCTCGTATAAGATCGACTATGATCGCTGTGCCTACGTAGTCGACGGATATGACCAACCAACCGGGAATACCTACACCGGGACATTCTGTCTTTGTGACGATAACCTGTGCAATAGTTCATCCTATGCACAATACTCCTTTGTTCTTCTTGCGATCGGCTCAATATTTTCTGTGATGCGCACGCTTTTTTAGCTCAGCGATTTTTGTATCTACATACATTTATTCCTTTCAATACTCTTCCTGAAAGCAGTCCTCTCTCTTACGTGCTACGAAAAGAAAATGCTACAACGAAATTAATGATGAAAACAAAATCATCGCAATTGACAGTAGACCAACGGAATTTGCAGCTGCATGCCGTTGTTGTCCCGTGTTGCAGTAAGCGTCGGCACAAATACAGAAACGTCCGGTATAGCGGTTACGCGTGACGGGATCAAAGGCTCCGCTGACATTACGGCATCGTCCCCACTCAATTTGATAAGGTATCAGTTGTAGTGCCGAATAAACACCACATGATCGTGTCGTTATACCTGAACAGTAAACACCAAGCGATACAAAAGCAGTTTTTACTTATGCAACTATAAATATATTCAAGAGCGGTAGCGGTAAAACGTTTATGTTTATTGACATCATCTTATATGTAAGGCGCGCTGCCGTATAATAAATTTATTGTATACGTATACTTAGCTTTACTGTATATACATAATTAGGTGAAGTTAAAAAAAACGCCTACCGGAAACGCGTTCAGCATAAAATTTAAGCTTATGCTACGACCTTATTAATTTGTTGATACTTAGTTTTGTTGTTCAGTTTACAATAAATTTTTCACAGTATAAGCAATCGATTCCATAATTAGGATGACCTTAACTAAGATGGCCTTAGGATGATCTAGCTTGAACAGGATATTAATAACTGGGAAAAGAGTTGCAGTCGTACCTTGGTAATAATAAAAAGGAGTTGCAAGGTCTCCTTCGAACTTATAACAGATATCTTGTCCTCGGTGGCAGTAATAAGGAGCATACATCCGGCAGCTTTTGTCATTCATATCCGCGCACACATAACATTGTAATGCAGACACTAAAAGGGAGCTTTTAATTAATTTTACAAGCCGGCCAATTTAAAATGCAAGGCCTTCAAAACTGGACAGTAACACCCATGTGGTAAATATGCTTACCTGTAAGCAGATTCACAAAACACCAAAGTATGTGCAAACAAAATGCGGGTTGAAAGTTTGTAAAAACGCGAAACATGGTATCGCATATCACGTATCCAAGGTCACAACACGAATCATCATAATATCATAATGGTTTCTGTTACAGTACGGCGAATGCTAACAAAATGCAGTTACTTAACCAAATCAGCAAGAATTCTGCCGTACGATTCAAAGTATAACGTTTTGTGGTAAATTCATCGGGAATACTTCCGTGGCTGCATGCACGAATTAAATCAGGAGTAGAGGTTCTTCAATGTCCGTTGGCTTCTGTGCACAGTGGATACTCACCTGGGTTATCGAAAATTATGCCATAAACTCCAAAGCGAGCGATTACATTTGCTCCGTATAATGTTAAAAGGCGCATTTCACGGTCAACTTAACTTGTATAGACAGCGTCCAAACATGCATGCACCTAGAATCTAAGTTATCTAACGCACCGTTGTGTAGTAACTTAGTAAGCATCTGTGTTAGCGGCAATCTTCATGAAATACATGATAGATAATCTAAACCAAAGCATTGCCAGCTTCTTAACGCTACATTAAGATTCAAAATCAGAATTTTCTTTTAATTTTACTGGATAACGATGCATTTAGTTTTGGCTTCTGACAGGCAGGCTGATAGGATGTGTGGAGGCCGGCATACTTTTATTGTACGATATCTCAAGTCCGTGTCTTTCCGAAGCTACGGCTATCGTAGTCCTCCATTTGCCGGATAAGAGCTCTTTAGCGCTGTCTTGATAGTCCTTGTTCATTATGAAGACCGATATCTGCATCCGCAGAATCGTGCTATATATTTATTCATTGTATAATTTACTTGGAAAAATATCTGCGTTCCGCATCAAAATTTTACGAAATGTACTGTAATATTCTTACCGGCGTGGAAAGGTACCCAATATAGGTCACCAAATTGGTCCACTGACGTACAATCGGGTAGCGACGCGGTACATCCGGCATAATACTGTACAGTATGGGAATGGTGATAAAGCAGACGGTATGCACCACCGACACCGCAAACAGCATCTTTGCTAAGGTCACTCTCCGAGCGACCGGCGCCGACCGGACCGCTTCCCCATGGGCTGTAACCTGCGCTTTCCTTTGTCGGTTATTGCGCCAGACCACTAAGAACGTTGTGATATACAACAGCCAGATAAGCACCAACGGTAGATAACTGTAGAATATACTGGCTACATTGAGACCCGTTCCCTGCGGTACATGACACGCGCGTGTGCTTTCCACGAAGAGGAATCCTCCATCGCCGCCCACATAGTGATACATCATGCAAGCGATACCGATGATCCATGGAACGAGAATCTGCACGGCCAGCGCCGGTCGGGTGATCCAGCGGGCGTAGGAATGCGGCCGGGCTACGGCGATAAACCGGTTCAAGGCGATGAAGAACAGTCCCCACCAGATGGCGGTCAGGGTGATCATGAAACCGTAGGTGAAATGCTGACAAAAACGGTTGGCGGTGGCGGAGTACTTCGTATAGATGAACTGCAGGACGAGCGAGTTGACCGGCCAGTAGAATAAGGTCATCTGGGTTTCGATGGTGATCTGGTGGAAAAGAAGGATACGGGAACCGGATAAGGTGCTGCGGCGGTGCAGCATAGTCAGGATGGTAAGAATAGACAGGGCGGCCAGGATGACCAGAAGAGTACCGGAGACGCCACAGAAAGCTTGTAGGATCGACCAGTTGCGTGGATGGAATTGGCTGCTTGATGAAATATTTTGGCCATTAGTATTTAGAGCTTGTGATTGAGCTGTAGCATTGGACATGATGACCTTTCCTCCCGCACAGTTAAAGCTGACGAGTTGAAGATCATACAAACACTGTCGCGCGGCAAAGTCTAAAATAATGGTTTGTTAAAACATGCTCTAGCTGGTAATGGAAGTACGCTGCAGAGATACCGAAAACAGACAAACATGCAGAATTTTAAAAATACTTCCAGGATGCCGGAAGCGTTTATTGCCCCTCTTTGCTGCAAGAGAAGACAAGAAATTTGAGGATATCGTCAGGTGATTAATTATTGAAATCCCGGTTGTCGCAACAAAGAAGAGGTAACGTTCATTGACCGCTACATTGCGAGAAAGGTAGGCAATAATTCGCTGAACCAGTACGACGAGTAGATGCTCTCCCCGCCGGCTGAAGTACTCCTGTTTAATTTTGTCTAAATATCGTAGTTCCTGTGCGTGCTTCAATAACAAGTACGAAATTAGCGGTACGTTAGAGTAATTATTGGATGTCAATGCAGTCACTTACGCTGTTGAAGCGTGGGCGCCTTACACAGTACGCAGTTAGTATCACGTGTCATTACTGTAAAAACAAGGCAGATGAAACCGTGCGCTTCTGCTTGATGTTATTCGGCAAAACGAACTATCCAGAATGGACACTATCCCCGCAAAAATTTTACTCGGCCTTCCCATGTTACCCGCAGAGATTGACTGGTGCTGCAGACACTTGCAGCAAAAAATGCTGTGAATTAAATATGATTGTTTCTGAAAAAAAATTACTGCGCTTCGTTGATCTCTGTCAGAGCTGGTTTATCCTACGTCTTTTGTACAGATACGTTAGACATTTTAAATTTTTTAGTTGTTAATTTATGACCTTAATTTCGGGGAGTGGTTGCCACTACGGCTGCACCGATTACACTACCAAAAACAGATGCAACCGATGGTAAATTTTCTACTTCATGCCGTGGATGGTTGTTTAAACCGACCAGCAACTTTGCGAAGGCTTTTTCCAGCAACATTTGTTTACAGGCTTCTGTAAATTCTTTAGTAAAATGATGCATTGCTGGCGCATCCTCTTGTTGTTGGAAAATCCACATTTTTAAATTCCAAGCGCTTACTTCGGTGAGACCAAGATTACTCCTTTTGATTCATTATTTTTGTCAGCGAAACGTTTTTCAGCTAAACTCCTTGTACACAGTTTTTTGATTCCTTATGCAGCTTCTTTTTACTTTTCAATTTCCTTACATGTTCTCTTCAGTTTTCCAGCAAAACATTTTTACATAAAGCCGAGACAACGATTGTCTGTTTTTTTTTGCCCAGTTTTGCAGATTAATGGTAACGTATGCGTAGCACAAAACTAGATGCGTTACCCGATAAGCAGCCGGCAGTCACTAACGCTAATAACTTGACTAACGGCGTGATTTTTTCTTCTTAAATACGAGTGCATACAACCCAATTGATCCAAGTACATTACCCTTTGACTGTGTTCCCTTTCAGATGACCCCATACTGTGTAAAATATGACATCAGCGGTTTCCGCCGAAACATTCGTTTACAGTGCTCCGAGGCATCACACTGCACAAAAAATGCATCAGATTGTTCGTACAATCACTTCCACGCTGCCATGTTAGTGTATCAGCTGAATAAAACGGGACTTTGGAAGCCTAGTTTATTATACAGTAGCAGTCTACGAAGAACAGTATAACGATTTCCTTCCACTTTCTTCGTACCGCTGATACACAGATTCCCTTTGTCACCGCGTCTGTTTATATCTGTAGGCAATAATTCTAATAAAAATTTGTGTTGCAAGAATGTTTTTGTCTTGGTTGATTATTTTAGTTGCCACGGCCATCTGCCTGATCCATGTTGTATCCGTGTGGAGTATGAACATCGACGCGTATGGTAAGTACTACTCTACAGTTTTTTTTAAGTATAATAGTGTTTTACGTTTTTGGAAGAGCGCATGGCCATTTGCGCACTGTAACCAGAAAGACCGAAATACTACTACGTTTTACCTATAAGTACCACATTTTACTTAAAACTGACCCGGGGTCATTATTTTTTTGTACAATAGTATGAAGGGATCTTTATTTGGTGAGACTGTTTAATTCGCTGCCATTTCCACTTTTTCCACTTTTTACCAGTTGGGTTCGCTGTTGGTAAATCGCTGTTGGTAAATTTGTTATGTAGATTTGATAGACAATGCATGCAAAGTCGCAGACAGAATGTCACCGATGTATCTGTCAACCACACTAAAAAGTTGTTCATAAAGTGACACAGTAAACATCGCAAGCGTTGTACCGCCAGCTCCTTTCTAAAACAAGTACTTTCTCGTATTCCAGGCACTTAAGCATAAGACTGTTCTTACATCGGTTCACTGTTCTAACATGTTTTTCAAATTTTAAAATGAATTTCGAAATTTTAGAATTTATCAAAAGTGTTAAAATTTTAAGCGAAAATTTTCCGTGCATGTACACGAATTCTATACTGGGTACTGGTTCACTTCCTTTAATATGGCCAGTCAGCTACCGTAAGCGATGTATAGTAGTTTATTGCACTGTATCCCATAGCCCGTCAACAGTTTGATAGACAACTTTTTCCTGGTCTAGCTCTCACTCTCAGTAGCGCCTCCGCCTAACTGCTCAAGCAAGTCTCGGATTTCTTTTAAGCTTGTTCTTAAATTGTAAAGTAACAGGAAGGAAAGCACTGTGTATTAAACTACCGTGTTATTTCGTTGCACAGATTGTATAGGAGGTCCGACAGACTTTCGCTGTAACGACGGGCGGTGCATCTTGAAGAAATGGGTGTGCGATGGAAGCAAAGAGTGTCCAGACGGCAGTGATGAACAGGATTGCCCGGGCCGTGCTTGTACTCCTCATCAACACGCTTGTGAGCTGTCGCGATGTATTCCCTTGGAATGGCGCTGTGATGGCCGGAATGATTGCGAAGATGGGACAGATGAAAATCCGACCTATTGCGCCCAGGCCTGTCCTCCTGCCTACTGGAAGTGCGCAAAAAGTACGTAAAAAGACGAGCGATTTAAGTGAATGGTATCACAGGGGACAAATTAAACGTCTGTTTGGCAACGTTTCCTGGAAGTCAAGTGAACGACATAACGAAGCGGTTTGACAAAGTTATTAAATCGCTTCAGCTGCTGCACTAGCCGGAAGTGAATGTAACTCTGTCGTGTGTGTAGTGAGTGTGTTAATCACTTAACAGCAATCTCGTTACGAGCATCCTTAGCGAGTGCGTTAGTTAACACATTAAATTTGCATTTAACATCTGATTTTAAACGGTATTTACGGTTAGTATTTGATCATTGCAGGCCAGATGTGCATCCCACAACACTGGCGCTGCGACCTTGCCGCTGACTGTCCGGATCGCGAAGACGAGGATATGTGCCCACATCTGTAGATAACTTATTTACGGGATTATAACGCTAAAAGTTCAGATTAATTTTGTCGAATATACAATAATTTTACAGTGGATATATGCATGCTCTAGCGCGCAGCCCATTATGGTTTATGTTTAAATTTGCATCCTTTTTACGGAGTACAATACATTACTAGTACATATTGCAGTATTTTCAACAAGCAATCGCTCATAATAACTGCTTAACTGCCTTTTGCTGACCCAAAACTGTACTCAAGGGGTTAACAGTATTAACCCCTTGAGTACAGTTTTGGCTGACCTAATACCCATGCCGCAAGGCACGTACTGTCCCATGCTCACCGTTTAAGATTGTGAGTTATCTCAATCTCTTCATTATTAAAACTTGTTCTTTTACCTTTTATTTTTTCTCTAGTAAGGACTTAGTTTATATATGTACTTAAGTGTCATATGAAGTAAGTACTTACAGAAACAGTTCACTGGCCATTGCAAAGTTCATACAACGGCACGATTTGTACGTACCATAGTGCGTTTTGAACCGTACATACGAGCAGTTCAAAAATACTTTTATATTAATAAATTTATTCTACATTTTACGAGTACTACAAAAACACAACGATACATTGTACATACGAGTACTACAAGAATACGTCATATTTTACAGTTTACAGTACAGATAGTATAAACTACAATGATAAACTGCACATCTCAGACAATCAGCCCACAGGTACAAGATAGTATAGGCCACGCCTTTCTAAACCACACTACGGTTTCCAACGGCGGTTCTTTAAACTGGACAAATTAAACGATCACGAAACGGTGCCAGACTAGATGATTTACATTCACTTTGGTGTTCCGCCACTTTTCGCGATAGTTAAAAATAATTTAGCGATATGAGTTCGCGTAAAACACTATAAAGCTGCACTAAGCCTTTAAGTGTAGTCGTAAAAACAACAGCGTTCAAAAGGCGAGAAACATCGAAAAACCACCTGTAAACTGCACGTAAACTGAACAGATTCGATCTATAATGTGTGATCGTGACACCTTTGCATAGTTCACGATTGTTGGTCTTTTTATTATAGCACTCGTAACTTGTTTCGAAGCAAAACGGCAGTACACTAGAAAAACGCCGACCACGATTTATTTTTTTGGCTGTCTGGGATTGAGGACCATCACTTTTTTATTTACCAAGGCAGATCCAAACAAAGCAGACCAAACCATGCGATTCTGCTTGATGTTATCCAACAAACGAACAGCCCTGAATGGACACCATCCACCCGCAAAAATTTTAATCGACGTTCCCATGTTGCCCACATGGTTTTGATGTGTACTGCAGACCCTTGCAGCAAAAAGTGTTGTGAATCAAATATGATGGTTTCTGCAAAACAATGATGCGCTTCATTCTGCCAATGCTGGTTTCTGCTGCGTCCTTTGTATTTCGGGATATTCTACTTCTTAATCTATGAGTTTAATTATGAACCCCGGGGGACATTACAGTAGAACCGGCTGCACAAACAAAAACAAAACTAAACGATGGTACTGTGCGTCTCCTATTGCACTTCTTTTTACGTTTTTTGAACAAGCCAATTTGCGAAGGCTTCTGTCAACAGCACCTGCTTATAGGTACTATAAAATTATCAATTTTAATAAACTGATGCTTCTTTGCTGCTAGGGTCAGTGTTTTTACACAAATTCCAAGCTCTCCTCTCAGTAAGACCATAATATTATCTCCTTTCGAATCCATCATTTGTGTCAACGAAAAGATTTATCCAGCTAAGCTCCTCGTATACTTACATTTGTTAGGGTTTTGTTATGCCAATTCTTTTTCTTCATTTAGTTTACATACAGTAAGCTGAGACTTTTCTGTTTTCTAACAAAACATTGTTTGGACAGACAAGAGTTTTTTTATTTATGGTTCGATTAATCAGAGTAAAGTAATATAGACGCGATTCCCGATAAGCAGCTGCCGAGCGCAGTTGCTAGCGCTAATGGCTCTCCAATGACTAACGGCGTGTTTTTTCCTCAATTACAACCTATTTGATCCAAGTACCCTACCCTTTCATTCTATTTCCTTTTAGTTGACCCCATAATGTGTAGGATATGACATCAGTGGTTTCCGCCGAACCTTGCATGTACCGTGCTCAGAGGCACCACACCCTTCAAAGAGTGCACCAGATTGTTCGAACAATTACCTCCACGCTGCCACAATATTACGTCAGCTGAATAAAACGGGACTTTGGAAGTCTGGCCGGGTGTTTATTAACTGGCCAGTCTGCGAAGAACGGTAGAACGATTCTTTTCACTTTCTTCGTACCATTCATGATATGCAGATTCCCGTTACCGCCGAGTCTGTTTATAGGCAACACTTTTAATAAAAGTTTTTGTACATGACTGGCCAGAATGTTTTTATCTCGGTCGATTATTGCAGTTGCCAGCTTCATCTGCCTAATCCATGCTGCATCGGCGTACACCTCATTGCTGTCACGTATGTTCAGTCCAAATCCGAGCGGTAAGTACAGGATACTGCAGTACCAGAATCAGTACTTTTATGTTCCCTCTTTTACTAGTAAGTGACCCAGGGTCAGTGTTTTTTTAACGTCATGTCTACGCGCGAGAATACTCCCGCGCTATAATTCGAGGTGGCACCCGAGTCTCGATTAGCTGCTCCACAGTGTTCTTTTCCGCTTCCGACAGGCGCCTTCTTTCTGGAAAATGTTGGGCGATCGTTTCCGTGACTTCATGGTTATGGTCTTCTAAAGCCGGCAGGTGAATAACCTCCATCATGCCGTTCACAAGCTTAAGACGGACCATAGCCTGGCAGTCACTTTTCAGAGTCGTCGTTATACTTTTCTTCGTGGGGGCTGAATTCCGCCGGTGTGGGCGGTAAGCGCCAGCTTTTTTGCAGACCAGCTTCACTGAGCTGTAGGGGAACGTGTCGTGAAGCGGATGCGTCTTTGACGTTTTCGCATTGCCGCCGGGATTTATAAAGACTTGGTGTGTTCGCTGGCTCCAATGCTCCACCGCTCTCAAAACCTCCGCGTAGGATTCATAACGATTTCCCACTTTAAGTTCTGACGCCATAACGGCTGATAGTTGGGAATACTTGAATTATCAGAAAATGTAAAATGCCGGTCAGATTTTGTATTTCGTGCACTAAAAGGTGACCTTCCGTAATTATTGGTTGCCATGTGGTGATAAATACACCGATTTAAACTGTTTTTTGGTAGTTTTTTTTGTGCGGGAAAAAACTCTCGCGCGTAGTCAATACTCATAGCGCGAGATACTCTCGCGCGTAGCCAAAACTCATAGCGCGGGAGGCTCTCGCGCGTAGCCATTTCGTTTTTTTAAAGCGTTGGACTCGGGATGGGTTTCATATTTTGGGGGCTATTTAATTCTTGTGATTTTCACTTTTAACATATTTTACCAGTTGAGTTGATAATTCGTGGTAAGCGACTATTTAAATTGACTTATGGATAAATGGATAATATTTAATACACAATGCACGCATATTTGCAGGCAAAAGGCCATCAGTACATCTTCCAAATGCTCTAAACGATTTTTTATAAAACAATTTACTCAGTAAACACCGTAAGCAGTGTGCTGCCAGTTTCTGTAAGCTACTGTGCCGTCAGCTACTAAGCAATGATGTATTCCATAGCCCGCAACAGTTTGTACATTGTATGAACAACATTCTGCCGGTTTTGCTGTCAGGGGCTCCTGCGCTTAATTGACGGATTTCTGTAAGCTAATGCTACCTTTTGCATTGTCAGTCTGTAGGAAGGAAAGCATGTGCGTTAATATACCGTGTTATTTCGTTGTACAGAATGTCCACCGGGAGACGTTCGTTGTAACGACGGGCGGTGCATCATGAAGGGATGGGTGTGCGATGGACAAAAAGACTGCAAAGACGGCAGCGATGAACAGGATTGCCCGCGCCCAACTTGTACCCCCCACCAACACGCTTGCGATGGGTCATGTATTCGTTTGGAATGGCGTTGTAATGGCCGGAAGGACTGCGTAGATGGGACAGATGAAATTCCGACCAATTGTGCACTGACATGTCCTCCTTCCGACTGGAAGTGCGCAAAAAGTACGGAGAATAGAAAGCGCTTTAAGTAAAGGGTCTCAAAGGAAAAAATGAAACTTGCGGATAAACTATATAATGCAGCGATGTAATAAAATGATCATAACAAGCGATATAATAAAACAAACGATATAACAAGCGATGTTACGAAATCGTTTCAGCTGCTGTATTATCCGGAAATGGATGCAGCTCTGCCGTGTATCTCGTGCGAGTGCTATCCGTTTGACAATTTCCACAGCAGAATCTTTAGTTAGTAATGCTCGTTAAACATCTGATTTTTTGCGGTATTTACTCTTTGCAGGCCAAATGTGCATTCCACAGAGTTGGCGCTGTGACGGTGCCGCCGACTGTCCGAATCGCGAAGACGAGGATCTGTGCCCACATCTGTAGATAACTTATTTACGAATAAAGGTTCAGAATCATTTTGTCGAATATACGCGTACAGTCTTACATTAGAGCCTCTCTGCCGCAGAGTTGACATGCTCCCTTTGATAACGCTTTAAGATTGTACGTAAATTTCTCCATTATAACTTTCTGTTTATCTTTCATGTTTTTCTCTCTCTGGTAACTTTGTAGGTACCGGTACTTTGTTTGAATACATATTTATTGTAGCTTCAGAACAAGTTATTGCAAACCACGTTTCTGCCCTCGTATATTCCTATCTGTGTAACACATTGTACTGTACGTTATTGTACATACGGTACATATCGGTATATATAATATTCTATACAGTACTTACATTGTTACATTGCCGTTAGAAGTTTACAGTACCGATTTACTGTATTTAAAGCGATGTAGCCGCCAAATGTATGTACGCCAAATGTATCGTACTAAATTAAACTACAATTTAACGAAGCGGCCGCGAAATGGTCATTCCAGGTTAGGGTCACATTCTTTTCTTTGGTACTCCGCTACTTTTCGCGATAGAAGTGGGAAGGCTTTAGCGATATCATTTCGCATGAAAAGCACTTAGCTGCCTTAAGCATTAAGTGTAATCATCTTAACGAAACCGTTATGACGGAAAACATCAAAGTACTTTCGTACATGTAAACTGAGCAGACGCGATCCATATGCTTACAAAATACAAACTCCGTATAGTTCTGAATAGTTGGTCTTTCTGATGTCGCACTCGTATTAATGTTTCGACAGAAAAACGTCTCATCACAAGAAAACGCCGACCACTATAATATTTAGTGTACTTCCTTTGCTTTCTGGGATTGTTGAATATCGCTTTTTATTCACAGCTCGAAAATTAGCGATAGCCTAGGTGAACATTTTTCACAGTTATTCGTAACCTACACAGCGTGTTAGTATTAATGTTTCGACAGAAAAACGTCTCATCACAAGAAAACGCCGACCACTATAATATTTAGTGTACTTCCTTTGCTTTCTGGGATTGTTGAATATCGCTTTTTATTCACAGCTCGAAAATTAGCGATAGCCTAGGTGAACATTTTTCACAGTTATTCGTAACCTACACAGCGTGTTAGTACTTCTTCCGGACAAAAGTCAAGCCCAATTTCAAGCCGGCATAATTTCAAGTGCACGAACCGAATAACTAACGTCAATCTGTCTGCCTTACATAAGCGTCACACAAATTCATCTGGAAATCCCTTTATCTGCAACAAAAATCGACAATTTGATGAAACCACGTTCTTATTCTACATTTTAAAAGTTATAGAAACAGTGAAGCTTCCATTATGTAATGACACACCTGTAAGGGTAATCGCCACCTTTTACAAACTGCAGTTTTAATTGTGGTATATTGCGCGCCAGTGCTAGTGAAGTCCAATTTTATTAGGTTTTCCCGTTATTCGTGGACGTGGTCGACAACGTAAAAACCGGAAGCATTTGAAAACTCCTTCCCGGTATGATCTCCCAAAAACAAGAAAAATAACCTGGAAACAAAAAACATTCAGAGTAAAAAGCATTTCTTTTTAGGCCTGCTGTATCAGCTGTATCTAATCGTTGAAATGTCCCTTCCGCTTCGCAGCATTACGGGTAAAGTCGAAAATTACAAGCCGGTTTTAGAGGCATGGATGGGATGACTTCAAGCTTCTAAATATTATTATAAGCAGTTCACCACTAATGTCACAGAAATATGCAATTATTGCTTTGTGTAGTCTGTACGTCACAAAGGTATAGTCTACGGTCCAACCATAATGCTAGCACTAATTCTGGCATTTGTTTTTATCTGCTAAAGCTGGCACCAACATTTTTTAAACAAGAATCTGATAAGGTTTTGTGTTACTACTTCTATACATACGATGGCAGTGCACGTACATATGTGACAGGCAGCCAGTTAAGAAATGTATCGACCGTAATCCCCGAGAAATAGTGTTACCACAAATGTTCACAATCCACAACTGCTTACCGGTGGTCCAATAGATCCAAAATAGGAGAACCAGCGAATAAATAAAAGCAACGGAGGATACTTCTCGTAGATCTCTGGTCCGTAGAAAACGGACAGAGCAATTCTTGGTACATAGGAAAGTAAAGTCCACGTGTGGGCGGAAATCAGTATCTTCGACATAACCATACGCGAGGTGGATCGACGAACCATGGCACTATTAGGCACATCAAACACCGCATTCCGCGACCTATCCGCTTTTCTGCTTATAATCGACGTCATGGCCACGTACGACATAACACAACCCGCTGCTGGCAGTGTTATGGAGACGGCACCGTACAGATGAAAACTTATCCGACCGATCTTGCTCACTGCTTTCACATCACAGAATCCAAACGGCTGAGAATAATACGGAGTCATTAGTGAACGCACGGCGAAGGAGATCGTGATACCGATGGCGATAATCCAGCTTAGTGCAATACTGACGTACACCGCTCGCCGACTGGTGAATTTGATCACAGAATGCGGAGAGGTCACCGCGGTCAAACGGTTCAGGCCAAGGAAGAAGGCGATCCAGCAGGCATGCGAACCAAAGATACAATACGCGGTATACATGAACCGGCACGCGTCGAGTGACAGTTGTAGCGATTCGTAGTACCCGGCAACCGGGAATACTGGCTGCAGCACCGCGTTGACGATGACGAGATCCACCAGTAAATGCACCACCAGGATATGGGAGGTTTTGTGTTGCAGCTTCTGGATTCGGATGCTGATGATCAGTAATAAAGCGAGGGCAGCACTGACAAAGGTTACGACCTGCGAGCCATAATACCAAAGGGTTAGAATGGTGGAAAACTGGCAGCGCGTTGCAAAACCAAGGGATTCCGAAGTGTTCAATCCTACATAGCCACACAAGGATTTGTTGCTCGGCATGGTTGTTTAGTTACGAGCAGTCCATGCATGATATGCTTTCAAAAGGTAAAAGCACTAACGGAAGTTGGGGTGATCCATGCGCTGATTGACAGTTGGTATACGGATGCTGTAAACACCCTTACCTTAACTACACAAGCTGCCGCGGGTTAACTGCCGGGTTATTTTCGCAGAAACTCTGACGTTTCACATTCTGCACTTCCGATTACAAGACACTCAGATCCATTAGTCTTATTCCCAAGATAATTGTATGTCCATCGCAGCTGACAGTATACCATTCGACCTACCGCTCTCTGACGGCAAATTTTTTATCGGAACGGCACAGTAATTGTCATTATATTTCCCAGTACAACAAGGAGCAACTAAATCATTGCTCTACTGTCTGTTCTTCCGTGTTGTCCCAAATTATAAATTTTCTTACCGAATCTACACCAATTAGAAGCAGCGGGGACTTAGAGTATTACAAGGTGCCGTCGAACTGCTTTTAATTTAAGCGCGCAACATCTGTGTTATTGCATTATTGAAATTGTCATCAAGAATATCAAAGACACCGAGTGGATATTAAATTTGACCGTGCCCCCGTTCCTAGTAACCGATGGCGGTGGCACACCACGATCTAGAAAAGATCATTGGAAAAGTGCAGAAAAAACAAGCACGGGCGAAGTAAAAAAGGACCATTAGCAACATAAACAGGTAAACATGATCGTATTGCAGTACCGTTAGATTTGCTCACAACTAAGCATTCATGCATATTGGATAGCATCCGAAAACATTGCAGAGGTGCAGGTCAACTAGCCCATATTTAAATCCTATGATTGTTGAAAAATTCTTAGAACTTGTCATTACTGACGGAGACATGCAGCTCTGTAGCGCATGCAGATATGTACGAGCATTTACCAAATCGTATACGTATGTCTTATGTTCGTAGTGGAAAAGTAATGTGGTGCTTGACGTTTAAACCAGATAAAAATTCAGGCAAAGCATAACTGTACACAGCACGCATAAAAAAGATTAGAAGAAGAAGATTAGAAGTGGAAGTTGTCTAATTTTTCTGTCTAGTCTGAAAACAGGGTTATTGTGCTGCCGTAAGAAACAGGACGCCGATGTTTGTTGTACAGAGAAAAGCGGCTTCTTGGAATACCGCTGTATGCTTGGGAGTGAATATGTCTGTTGCAGCTCCAAGAGTTAGGAAACGACGTCGAAATACCAAAGGCGGAGAAATAGCTTCTCCTTGGGTGTGCATACAATGTTTGCCCTGTAGTCTGTGAGAGTTTAGTGCCGGCTGCATATCAGCTGTACACTTTCTGGGTCAGCAATTGGACTGCACAATTGGACTGAAGACAACGAAAAGAGCCTATGCCTTCTTGCGGCCAACATAGGTGCCTGTTTTTAGCAAACTCTACAAAGAATGCTACGGCCACGCCAGACATTTTGTCACACACAAGCAAACATGAGACTTCGATTGTTTTTACAGATTTTCTTTGTATTAGGCTTTATGTAATGCAACCGCATCAGCGTTTTCCGCGTTCTGATGGTTCTTTGCCGAAAAGGGGCATGCTGTTAGCTAGTGCTACAGACCACAGCTTACTTTAGTTACTGTAATCGAAGCACCAGGAAAGAGAGAACCCAAAACGAATGAGAGAATGGTTATTTTAAACGTAACCACATCATTACTTGGAGATTGATACAACAATTATTGGGTAAATTAACTAAAAGACTTAAGATCGCTGCTACAATTGCTAATTAAAAGTTAAAAAATTTCTATATCATTATTCGATACTCCGGTTTGCCGCGCCCGCCTTTTTCGCAGCAGAAGATGAACGCATTTGTAGACTCCTTTCCGGTAAGATTTTCCCAGTACCAGAAAAACTACCTACAAGGAAGAAATGAGAATGTCTCGAAAAAGACGCAAGGACCGTTTTGTAAACGTTGTGGCTTAACGCTTCTTCTGCATTCCTGGTGCAAAACAAATTCTGGGAATACATAGCATTGTCAGAGTGCCGTGCATAGAGCACAGGATATTGGCACATATGCCTCACCACAGGTCCCAGCTCATCAGTGACAGCTAGCGGAGGAGAATCCCCTACAGCACTAGAAGCAAGGAGCGTCGCTGGTTCGGAAGGCACGCGGCCGCCAGCAAGGAGAAGAACCGAGGAGAGCACTTACACGGAAGTTCCTCTCCTTCAGTGGAGGTCCCAGCTCATCAGTGACAGCTAGCGGAGGAGAATCCCCTACAGCACTAGAAGCAAGGAGCGTCGCTGGTTCGGAAGGCACGCGGCCGCCAGCAAGGAGAAGAACCGAGGAGAGCACTTTTCTATTCGTAAGCTTACTTTATGAAAACCAGTAGA